AAGCTCTTCGCAGACATGAAAACCCGTAACGAAGAGCTCGATAAAAGCGCTAGCGAACAAAAAACCTTCGCCGAAAAGGCTGAAAAAGAGGCCCGTCGAGCTCGAAAGGAATTAGACCAGCTCTAAGCGGTCCTGCCAACTACGGAACGCTCGTCAAAGCCTCTTTAAGTTTCCTTCGAAGATAATTCTAAAGGCAAGGAGCTATACAAGCCCTCGGTCCCCCAAGCCACTCCTTTTACTTATGGAACCGCCAACCCTCGCCGCCTCTTCGCCGACGACGATAAACCACCTTCTCTTTACAGGCCAACCAACCTCCGTACTCTAGCTAGGTTCAACACCTTTAGAGCCTCCTCTTCAGCTTTCTAAGGTCGCTGTTGGATTGCTTCCAAGCGATTGGGAATATATATTCGTAAGGTCGTAACGGTCGTCAAAGTACTTGCAATTGCAAAACACTCGGTTGATAAGGTATCTGAATTCTGTCTGCTTCCCCAGATTCAAAGGAGCTGATTCCTTTTATAGGACTAGAAGGAATTACGTGCATTAGCTAACTAATAGGTCTACTTGTCAAGTTGGGGGTCCTTTGATTGCTAATATGCTAAGCGAGGCATGCTAAGTGGCTCGTGAATCATGGTTCACGGGTGAGCTTCCTTAACCACTACTACTATTATTATTAGCTAGCTAAGGTCGATATGGATATACCGACATCGGCAACTTTTTTTTTGGCAAGCAGTGCCTTGCCAACTATTATATCGATCGAAAAAGGAAGGAAGGTAATCAAATAAAGGAAAAACAATCTTATCCTTCTCTCTTTTATAGCGGCCTTTTTACTTACCCGTCCATTTGCACTTTTAAGGTATTGGTCAAAACTAGCTCTTGCAAAGAGGTATTGGCCCCGACTTTAGTTATGGCGTCAGCAGGGTTAGATTTTCCTTCGATTTAGCGTACTTTAAAGAGCTCCCGCTTCTCGTATGACTCTCGAATAGCTATAATATCGATCATAAGGCGCTTCTCTTTAGTAGTTCTTAGCTTTATTATGCACTCGTAAAGCGAATAAGAGTCAGTGCACACAACTACGAAGAAATTAAGTATCTTTAGCTAGGCTATGATCTAGGCAAAAGTGGTCGATATAGCAATGGCTATATCGATACTTAAGGATATAGCGTATAGCTTAAAGGCTAATACTGCTCTTATCACCTTCTTGCACTTCTATGACACTTAATAAAAGATATTACCCGTTAGAGTGAACTCGTTCTCATTTACGTGAGCCTTATTGCTAAAAATAGCTACGAAACCGATTTAAGAGCTAAGGTCAGCGTTGTTAGCAAACGCTTTATCTACGAATATAAAGAGCTTCGCAGTTGTCAAGTCCAAGGGCACGTAATAGATCCCTCGTGTTAAGTGATCGATCAGCTACTAGATCACTTTATTAAGAGCCTTATAGTCCCCGTCCTTCGGTTCTTGGTGTTGGGCAGCTATCGATAAAGCATAAGATGCTTTTAGGTAGCAAATGGTAGCTAAATACGCCTTTCGAGCACGTTGCTCCAAGTACTCTTTAGCCCGTATAGCTAAATCGAGCTTGATTACTGCAAGCCTTTCACTTTGCCCTTTCTGACCAATTGACACTCCGAACCCGTCTTTATCCAAAGATAGCTTGCACTTATTGAAAATCATCGGTTTAGCGTGTGTAAGGATCTCCATTTCTTTGCTCTTCAGCTTGGATTTCACTAGCTCCTTTTCCTCTTTTGCTTTTATAGCTCGATTGATAACTATAAGAACATCGTCCGTCTATAAAGCAGCTATTCTTAGCTGATCTTTATTAGTTGATATAAAAAGGCAAGAATCAAAGCTCGATTGCCGCATACTGAAGTTGTTTATGAAATGCTCGGAAAAACGCTTATACTAATGCGTCTTTGCTTCGAGGATGCCGTATAAAAGGCTAGTTATAAAGAACAAAGTGCCGAAGAAGAATCGATAAGTGATCTTTTTAAGTGGTCGCACGACGATTATTCGGATAAGCTTCGTGCTTGACTGAGTATAAGCTTAAGTGATATCCTTGCTATAGACTTAACACTCGTAATCTTTTATTAAAAAAAGAGCTAAAGCATAATAAAGTTTTTGGCCCGCTCGCTGCACCGTAAGTGACTTGATGAGTACCTTCGTCTTGCCTTTATCTTAAAAGGCTTGGACTATCATACGAGACTTTTCGTATAGCGTAAGTGTTCCTTTGCCCTTGATCTTATTAACAAACTTAAATCCGAAGATCCTAGCGCTCTTAACGCGTAGGTCGGTGCTCGAGATCACTTAAAAGATGCCTTAGGCTATCAATCCAGCTAATTCCTTTGCTCTGGACTCTTGAAATAGTGCCCTAAGGCTTTTAATAATTCCTTCGGCTCGTAGCTTAGCTAAGAGCTTATAGTTCCGGCGTTCCTTATCGATAACTAACACTTCGAAGTCCTTAGTGAATAAAACGTAAGAGTCGCCCTCTTCTTCGTCGAGCACGGTCGGGATATTAAGATCGTACTTTTAATAAGGTATCTAGATCATTAGTATTATTGATTTTTAGGAATTAGCAAGTTAAGGGTTGGGAGGGCTGTTTGTTAGTCTTGGCGAGCTTCTTGAATTAAGCGACCTCGGTGGATTAAGCGAATGTTGAAGTTTAGGCGAATTTCGTATTTCTAGCTCTTTTTCGCTTTCGCTCTGATCATCTTCCACCTCTTCTTCCACCTTTTCTTCCGCTTTTACCTTAGGTACTTGCAACTCTTCTAGCAGCTTTTCAACTTTAGAGTAGTAAGGTTTTATTAAGGTTGACTTGAATTCCGTAGGCCTCGGACAAGCCATTGTGCACGTGTGCCCTTGCTTGCTAAGCAGCTAAAAGGGGCCCTTTTACCTTTGGTTTTCCCGCTACACGAGCACCCGTAAGCTAATAAGGAGGTCTAGGGTATGCTTCGTAATTAGGCCATTCCTCTTCTTAAGCGCGTCCCTAACCTGCTTCGCAGCGTAGCATTTTCGTACTTCCTTTATAGCCTTGCTAATAGCAGTAGCACGTTCTTAGGTAGACGCGGCAGGTCGATCTTGTTCCGTTAGCCTTAGTAAGGTCCTAAAAACGAAGAGTATAAGAACCAAGCCATTAGGTCCAGCTGTGTCGTTGATAGCTTTGATAGCTATTTAAAGCCGGTCTTCCTTTAAGGCCTTTAGAAGCTCTTTTGTGACGATCTTAAAGGCGCGTCGTATAAAAACGTAGTAGCGTTCTACTAGCTCGACGCTATGATAGGCTTTTATAAGCATCTGCTTTAAGGTGCTGCTAATACTTTTAAGGTAGCTCCGGAACGTTGCTGAATTGAAGTTGGTTCCGGGATCGTGCATTACGTTTATAAAGGGCCCGACGTAAGTATTGACCTAGCATCGACTAAATCTTTTAAGTAAATGCTGTGCGGATATGCTTTTAAAGAAGGTGGCGGCTTGAAAATTAATAAAGTCGCAAACGACGTGCAATACGTTCTTGCCGTTAAAGTGCATTATATCGACGTATACCGTGTCATTAAAGTCAGTATCATCCTTGAGTCTGATACTAAACCTCTTCGAGGAGCGTCCGAATACTTAGCAATAGTAGCAAAACTTTTAGATATTATAGAGCAAATCCCGTTTGAATTCGTGCTCGGCCCTTTTGAGAATAGTAGCAAATCGACTTGTTAAAGGGTGGCCAAAACGCTTGTAGATGGTCCTTAATTGCTCTTTCGTAAGGTGGCAGTAGACGGTCTCGCTTTCGGTGCTATAGTAAGTAGCAGCGTGCTTTTTACTTAATAGCATCTATACGTGTCTAAACATCTTTACTACTAGTATTTCCTTCTTCTTTTAAACTAGCACGTTCCGCAAGTTATTTAAGATCACTTTGTGCTTATCTATATTAGCTAACGAGAATAAGAAAGGTACGTCGCTCTTTACAACGTAGAACTCTACTTGACTTAAGGGGGTATTTAAGGTAACTGCTTTAATAAAGGTGGCAGAGCCGATCCCGTACTTGACGGACTTCTCTTTTGCCCGGAATATATCCAATTGGACTTCGAAGTACTTCTTTTAGAGTGCTCGTAGCTAAGGCAAGCTAGCGATAAAGAAATTAGCTGCTCCGCTGTCAATTATAAGTCTTATAAATACGTTTTTAAAGTACTTAGAGGCTATGTAGGTCTTTGCTTTGCCCGCGGGCACGTTTTGGGTCTCGATTTGGCTAGTAAAGGCGTAGAATGCCGTCTGAATTTCTAGCTGTTTGTATACTTCGTTAGCGTTAAAAGTGTTGGATCGCCGGTAGCGATCTCTCGTAATAATTCGTAAAAGTCGTGACGTCGTCAAAGTACTTGCAATTGCAAAACACTCGGTGGTAAAATACTCAATTGTTGCTTGTTTTTCTTGTTTGATTAATCTGCTCTAAGAAAGCTGACTCCTTCTATACAATAGGAAGGAGTCACGTGTACTAGCTAAATACTAGGTTTACAAGCAAGTTAGGGGGGTCCCCGGACCTGTGACAGGCTAAGCGAGGCATGCCTAGTGGCCCGTGAACCCTGGTTCACGAGTGAGCTCCCCCCAACTACTATTTACTAGCTAAGGTCGATATAAATGAACCGACAAAAAGTGCCGTAAGTAATCACAAAACCTTCCGATATGTTAGCGTGGCTGCTCGATTCGAGCGGCTCGTCTAGTAGGCTTGCGATGAATTGATCGAATTCTTTCGTAGATACAAGTAGCAAGCTCTTAATCGATGCTACGTATTAAGAGAATTTGCTTTTCGTCACTCTTTTTGCGTCTTTGAAGGCCTGGAACTTAGCGACGGATGCCTTTCTTTCGTCGAAGGTATAGTTGGTGCTCTAGCAACCTGGCTTTTTGCAAACAAAACACCTTTTCTTACCTTTAATAATAGCTTTGGCAGCTTTCTTACTTCCGAAATATTGGCGATCTTAAATAAAGCATTCGTATTCCTCGTCCAAATCGGAGTTAGCCTTTAAGGCGTGCTAAGAGCAGATGTGATCGTGTAGCTCGCTAGAGCTCGCGTAAGCTCTACTCGCCTTGGCGGGAGGTCGAGAGGTCTTAGTTGCAAAAGCAATTGCTCGACGAATATCAGCAATTGCCGCGGTAAAAGTAAAAGCAGGATTCATTCGTGCAATCGTAATCTTTAGTACGTTTTTATAAGCTGAATATAGCTTGTTAGCAAGACTTCGATTATCCTTTAAACTTGGTCGTAAAGAGCTTTGAATGCCTTTGAGCTCCTTAGCGAGCTTTTCAAAGCACTCGCTAAGCGAGGTTCTTAGATTCTTTTTCTTGACCAAATCTAGCGAAATTTCCTTTTAGCGGTTGTATTTTGCTTGCCGCCGGTGGTTAATCTCGAAGTGGTCCTTTACCGCAATAGCGTTTGCTTTAAACGTAAGAAGCTTGGCTTTGATCATATGATTGTAATAGAAAGTTATAGCTTTCTTCGTAAGTATAATTAGGAACGCCGCCAAGTAGTCGTCGGAGGTTAAACCGTATCGACTTGCTTGGTTAGCAAAAATCCTTAATTGAGTTTTAAAGTCATCGTCGAGTCTTGAGTACTTTAGCTCTTTAGGAAAGCTTCGCGCGAACAAGGCCAATTCTTTCGCTTTTAGGTGAAGGTCTATTGCTCTTAGCTCAAGGAAATCGTCTCTATCATCGTCAGGGGCGCTTAGAGTGCCGTACGCAGGCGTGCCGTGCTTGGCTAGTGGTCGGATCGGTAAAGGGTTACTAATATAGTTGCCGGTTGTGGGTCTTACCTTTTTAGGGTCCTTAGGAGGCTCATTTCCGGATCCGGGGTCCCTTGGGGGTCCGTTGCCGAATCCCTTTGGTGGCCCAAGGGGGCCGTTTCTACCCTCTCCGTACCCGTAGCCTCGATTTCCTTGCTAATCTCCTCCGTTCCCTCTTCGTCGGCCATCGTTAAGATCTTTAGGGCTATTCGGGTCACCGGCTAAGGCTCTAGCTTAGTGATATCCGTATCTTTAGGCTTGCTTTTAGCGATTCTTATACCCTTGGTCTCTCTTTTATTGATACGTGGCCTTTTAAGAGATATGGGTAGCTTGCCGGTACGTCCGAGGGTGCTGGATCTTTCCTTCGGGTTGCTAAGGCTGGGCACGGAAATCTGCACGCTATCTTTAGTAAGAGTTGATTTTGTCCGGAATGCTCTTAGGTTTTGGCGGGTCCTCTTTTAGCGTGTAGCTCTCGTGGCCTCGAGTGTTGTCTAGTCCGATGATGATCTCAAGACTATTTTTGTTGCTACTCGGTCCTGGCTTATCGAAAATTCGGCTGTAGCCCTTGACAAGGGGGTTTTGGGGCTGCTAAGGTGATTTTAGCTCTTCTTGTATAATTGGCGTATTGCGTAGCGATTGATAAGATTGATGAATTAAGGACGAGTACGCTGAAGTGCTTCGTCGTAGCCCTTCGTTGGATTGTATAGCGTAGGTTCGTAATTCTGCTATTTGCCTTGCTATTACTTTTATATTTTGCTTTATATCTTTCTTTTCTTTCGCAAACTCTTCGCGTAACCTCCGAATCTCTTCCCTTTTTTCCTTTTCCTTTTCTTTTGGACTTCGTAAGGGTGGTAAAGGTGGTTAAGGCGTATTATCCTCGTCGTTCGTAAGGTTTTCGGCGGTCCACCTTAAATCGAGGCTTAAGGGTGTTGCTTGTTGCTCCTTTATTTCCTAGAAGGTCCATTGGTATTGCTGCTCGTCGTTCAAGAGCTTGACTATCCTATTAGCGTAGCCCTTTTGCTTTAAGGGGCATCATACGCTTTTGGACAGCAAGTGTTCTTTAAAGCTAATAAGGATAGCAAACTTAAGGCCTCGTCCCGTATTGTCCCTCGTCATCGTAAAACTCGTTTAATCCTAGCGTAAGAAAGCGTGCCGGAATAAGCTTTATAAGTCGTAATCCCTTAGCCTTTTACACTTCGCATCTAGGAAGTCCTTTACTATTGCTCGGGCCGTAATCTCACTATCGGGCCTTGCGTATGGTAGCTCGTTTAAGTCAAATAAGATGCTCGACATCTTATCGTCTGGTCCTTCCGAGAGGCTTAGGAGTCTTAAGTATAGTAGTCCTTTTAGCTGAATAGCTAGGGGTTCCGTGGGTGGTGATGAGACTCGAGGGGTATAATACCTTATTGCTCTTTGTCGGCTAGACTCCCTACCTAGAGGTCTAGTTGCTTGATCGGCTATAGTAGTTGTTTGCTCGTACGTAAATCGATCGTATTGGTTGGGTTTGCTATGTATAGCAAGCGCGGCTTTACAGCTTTGAAGGTTGTATAAAAGTAACTTGGTTCGGAATCACTTTTCCGTAAGAATAAGGAAAGTCGGTAGTATAAGAAGCGATTTGATACGGAATCGCTCTTCCGTTATAGAAAGAAGGAGATATCGTAATAAAAGGTATCCTCGCTATAGAGTCTTAGCTTCTCTATGATTGATCACTTAGTAGTAATTCAATCACTGATTAATGTTAAATTGCTTTTAAGCGATTAAGAATATATATTCGTAAGGTCGTAACGGTCGTTAAAGTACTTGCAATTGCAAAACACTCGGTTGATAAGGTATCTAAATTCTGTCTGCTCCTCTAGATTCAAAGGAGCTGATTCCTTTTATAGGACTAGAAGGAATCACGTGCATTAGCTAACTAATAGGTCTACTTGTCAAGTTGGGGGTCCTTTGACTGCTAATATGCTAAGCGAGGCATGCCAAGTGGCCCGTGAACCATGGTTCACGGGTGAGCTTCCCCAACCACTACTACTACTACTACTAGCTAGCTAAGGTCGATATGGATATACCGACAGTCGCGCTCGTATCGAGCGGATCCTTAACCTTGAACAAAAGCTTTTAGACGGTGTAAGCTATCGAGCACGCTATTAGCAAGCCCGCGTCCTCGACAACTTAGAAGCTTTCGATGAATACTTCTTCACAGAACGCTAGCGCAAGAACTACGTCCTTGACCAAACCGAAGGAATAGCCCACTTGTTCTTGGCCTTTTTAGTTATAGATCGTAGTAACCTCGTAACCGCCTCGGAACTCGTCTAGATCGCTTTCGAGTTCTTAAACGACCTCGCTAAGAAAGCTAAAGCGTTAATTAAGTTCGAAAAACTTTATATAAAGTCTAACTAGCAATTTTAAGACTTCTACTTTGTTTTCTCGAAGCTTGCCGCTATCGCCGAAATCAAAGACGAAGACCGATTACGTGAGGCCTTGCGTTTTAAGATCATTAAGACGCTGCGCGACCAGCTCTATTTAGAATTTGCTAAGACTATAACCTTTAAAGACTTTCAGACTGCCGTCTAACAATTAGCTGCTAGCTAATACGCATTTGCAAGGCTTTACGACGCTTTATAAGCTAAGTACAACACTTAATTCGCGAAGAGCTCTTATAGTAGAGCTCGTAACGAATCTCGCTCGGCTTAAAGAGCAGCGGTTAAGCAAATCACTTATTACGAGAACCGCTAAAGTAGCTTAACCCTCGTCTCTTTCTCTACTCTTTAGCGCTAAACCTTTAATAGCTCCGGCGCTAATGCAGATCGATTCAATCGATCTAACAAATTCTCTTCTTTCGGAAACGCTTTTAAGTTAATAATCAAAACCTTTAGATCGTCTCGCAAGGATTCGAATACGCCGAAGCTCTTTCGCTATTACTTAATCAACGAAATAGAATACGGCGCTGGACTTGAATACGGCTTTTATTCGGATGACTCGGACGATAAGCCCTACTCCGACGCTCTTAAGGATTATCAAGAGCTCTTTTTTGCTGACTCCGACGCTCTCGACAATAAGGGAAACGTCGAGGCTTAAGCAAAGCCTCTTTTTTAAGCTAGCTTCGAGATATGCGATACTTCGACCTTACGAAGCTCTTTGGTAATAAAGTCATGATTATACCCGTCACTTTTATTAAGAATAGCCTTTCGTACAAGGTATCTGCTTTGCTCGACTTAAGAGCTAATAAGTACGTATTAATTGATTTAGCGCTATTCAAATCACTTTCTTTTTTTTTTAAACTTTTGATTTAACTTTTTTCGGCTTTATTCTTTATCAAATCATACAATAGAGCTCGTAGAGCTACTATCTTACATTTTGCATTTCTTAACCTTACGGTTGATAAGCGCGTTTAATCTTTTATTCTTTTTTTTATTATTAACTTTAAGAATCATAGCGTGATCTTCGGACGAGCATAGCTAATTAAACACTAAATTCTTTTTGATTGCGCTCGCCGCAAGCTTTATTAGCTTCGTTTTAACTTTCCGACCGCTACTTACGCTAAACCTATTGAGATTATATACCTTAATTAGCGTAAGGTAAACGCTCGTCATTAATACGACGCTAATAGGCGTGATCGAGCTTTAGACCGCTTTTAAAGAGCTTACGACGCTAATTTACTCGTGAACTATAGTTTACAGGCGGATCAAGCAGCAATAATAGTCGCTGAATCACTTCTTTCTTTTCGGAATCGTCTTCCTTTTGCTTCTTTTTTTAAGATCGTTGAACCTTTTTCTTTTATTTACCTTTTCGTAGAGCCGTCACTCTTTCGCTTTACGAAAAACACTTTTTCTAAGGACTACGTTAAATCAATATCTTAGATGAACCGTGAGCTTATGTTAATCGATATCGCTTTTGTAAAACCTTTTTTATTCGTTAAACGCTTTCGCTAAACGTTTAAGCATAAAATTAATAGAAACTTTAAAATCAACGGCGTCTTCAGACACGCTTTTTATATGATCGCTCGCTAAAAAGACGTAAAACTATTTTTTACGTTCTTTTACGAGCTCGATTGCTTAATCTTCGAGCGTCAAACGATTGCTTTTACTTAAGCTAATTATTAAGCAGCGCTAACACGCTTTACTAACGGCTTTATTTTTGCTATTAACCTTGCAGCGGAACTATTAAAGCTTATTGACGACCTTCTTATCCTTTTCGAATACTTCGATTACGCATACGTGTTTTTTAAAGCCGTTAGCAACGTGCTAGCACTATATAAGCTTTACGATTATAAAATCGAGCTTCTCGAAGAAGAAGAGAAGGCGCTTCGGTACTTATTATTATACAAGATGTCGATCCTTAAGTTGAAGCTTATTAAAGCTTATCTTATCGATAATCTTAACAAAGGTTTTATCGAACCTTTAATAGCGCTATTTACAGCTCTAGTCTTGTTTGCTAAGAAGCAAGACGGTTCTTTTCGCTTTTGTATTGACTTTCGCGCGCTAAACAATTTCATTCGTAAAGATCGATACCTTTTTTTTTTGATCGATAAGACTTTCGCACGTCTCTTAAGAGCTAAAATCTTTACGAAACTCAATATTCGGCAAGCCTTTTATAGAATACGGATGGACCTAGCTTTAAAAAAGCTTATAACATTTAAGATACGCTACGGTGCTTATAAGTATAAAGTTCTTTTATTCGGACTGACTAATGGACCCGCCACTTACTAACGCTATATAAATGACCTTTTCTTCGACTTTTTAAACATCTTTTGCACGGCATATTTAGACGATATCTTGATCTACTTTTCCGACCTTTTAAAGCACGCTTATTACGTTCGTTAAGTCTTTTAATAACTCGACGACGCTAGCTTTTAAGCTGATATTAAAAAATGCGAATTCAGTATAATTAAAGTAAAATACTTAAGCTTTATCATTTCTACCGAAAGCTTAAAAGTAGATCCGGATAAAACGTCGATAGTAGAGCATTAAGCGCTTTTTACGACCGTTAAAAGCGTTTAAAGCTTCTTTAGATTTTGTAACTTCTATCGCCGATTCATTCGAGATTACGGCGTAATCGCGAAGCTTTTAATACACTTAATTAAAGCTAACGTTCTTTTTTCATTTAATTTTTAGTATTAAAAAAGCTTCGACCTTTTAAAGCTCGCTTTAATTATTGCGCTAATCTTATAGCATTATAACCAAGACTTCTTTTATATATTAAAGACTGACGCTTCCGACGGCGTAGTCGCTTTAATCCTTTTTTAAAAGCATAGTTCCGACTAGCTACCAGTCGCTTACTATTCTAAAATTATAGCTTCCGCTAAGCTCAACTACGTCGTCTACGATAAAGAGATGCTAGCTATTATACGCTCTTTTAATAACTTCCGCGCCGAACTCGCCGGCTCTTTTTATTAAGTTCAAGTAATCACCGACTATAAAGCCTTAGAGTACTTTATGACTTTTAAGACTTTTAACGCTCGTCAAGCACGCTAAGCAGAGCTCTTCTTCGATTACAACTTTATCATTACGTACAAGCCAGGTAAAGACAACCTTTTAGCTGACGCGCTGATACGTCGCACCGAAGAGCTTTTTTCTTAGAACAACCTTAAGCGCACTTAACGCTTGCAAACGCTGCTTCGCGCCGACAACGTTGACTTACGACTTTTAATCGAAGAGCTACGCTAACTTACGCTTTCGGAGACCGCCGTTACTATCGAAGAGATCGCGGAGCTTTTACTTATATTCCGAGTTATTAACTAAGTCTTAAAAGCTAATCGGACCGCTTTTAGTTTCATAGCACTTCGAATTCAAGCTTTTAGAGCTGAGTCCTTACTCGTAAACCACGGTTTATAAGCTAAATTTATTATAGAAGGCGACTTGCTGCTTTATGACGGCCGCTTATTAGTTCTCGACGTCTAAAATTTGCGTTCGTTACTCGTTCGAGAAGTCTACGACCAAGTATTTATAGCATACCCTAGCTTCCGCAAAACCTATAAGCTCTTTGCAATATAGTATTATTAGCATAGTATAGCTAGATTCGTTAATTAGTATTGCCGCAACTGCTACGCTTGCAAACGAGCTTTAATGCTTCGCGATAAGAAACCTAGCTTGCTTTAACCTTTCCCGATCTTTTCGCGCTTTTAAGAGCACGTCATTATAGATTTTTATAGCTTTAATAAAGATAAACATAGCTACGATAACGTCTTTATAGTAATCGACCGCTTCTTTAAGCAAGCAATCTCGATCTTTTATCATAAGTCTATCGATGCTAATGTAAACACCCTGCCTGATGGGGTACTTGCCATGGCCACTAGGGCCACACTAAACGGACCCATCTTCTATAAGAGGGCACACATCTTTTAGCTAGAACAATCAACGAGCTTTCCACCCACCTTTTCTGACATCTCTTTTGTAAGACCATAAGGTCTAGCCTTAGAGCCAAGCTTCTATACAGCACATCTTTTTAAGTGCTTTTACATTAGTGACCTACGCAAGGATTCAAACCTTTAGTCTTTATCTTTATACAACTTATTACAATCGCTTGATTCGCAGTCAAGTTGATCTTCGTTCATTCAGCACTTCACTTTACAACTACGACTTTAAAATAATCAAAACTTTATTCCCGATAAGTTCGGATACCGAAACGCCGAAATAGCCGAAGTGCAATATTTCGGCTCCCCGGCAAAAACTCTCTTTTATTGTCAATAAAAAAGAATTTTCACTCATTAGTGAAAATATCCTTCTATACCTTAGCTCTCATCCTAAATTAAAGCAATTGATATAGTCCGGAGTTGTCAATAAAGCTAATCAATTGATTCTTAGGTTTTTTATAGTTCTGATCTTATCTATTAGTTTACCTTTGCAAAAGGTCTACTCCTTTTAATCTCGGATCGAGAATACCTTGCGAAAATCGCTTATTTTACTCGTAAACCCGGTTCACGAGTCAAAATTAAATAATTCAAAAACTTTTTATTAACCCGATTATTCTTAATACATATATATGTCTGATCCTTAAAATACCGAAAACCTTCTTAAGATTTCTAACATCGAAGACGGCGCAGAATCACCTCCCCTTTCGTTAGAATCCTCTGAATTTATTAAATCCTTTAATCGTATTTTTATAAGCTTCGGACTATCCTTATCCTACTTCGACCTTCAACTTAAACCTTTACCGCCACCTTTATCAGAAACACTTGCCTTGGAAATGCTTCTTAAAATAAACATTAGTCTTAAAATCTACATCACTCTTCTTCCTTTTGCTCCTCTTGCTCTTCCACTAAGCCTTGCGCTAGTTATGGTCGACCTTGCTATCCTTTACGCTTTTATAACTACTCGCATGCTATTGCTAAGCGCCCTAAGAGCTCCCTACTTCAATAGTGCTAATATCACCGACTTCATCGAGAAGTACGAAGAAACTTATAATGACTTTAATATCCTTAAAGATAATCGATTTATTAAACTCCCTCGTTACTGCGATAACCTTCGCAAAGAAATTATCAAGAGCTTGCTCGAATAGAAAGCTAAGAAAGATTAAGCTGCCCTCGTTAAAGCTTTAAAAGCCGAGTTTCGTAAAAACGATACTTAGCAGATCAAAGACTCGGTCGCCTTCTTGCGGGAATTTGCTATGCAAGAACGGGATATTAATAACCTGAAAAACTACTGTCGCACTTTCTCCCGGGTCTTCGAAAAGCTTACTTCAATGCACCTCTTAAGCAAGACCGAACAAGGCCGCCTGTTCCTCTTCGGATTGCCCGTCGGAATCCGAAACAAAACGATCAAGCATTATAAGATCGACGAACTCGACTTAGACTCTTATGCCGCTTTCGATGACTTCGCTGCATTCGCCTTTAAGACCGACCAAAGCGCTAAGACTATCGAAGCTATAAATCGAGAAAAGTCTTTTTTAGCCAACTTCACCAAAGATATTCGGACCTTGGTCAAAGAACACACGAAGCTAGCCAGCGTTCTTGAATCTGCTAAGAAAGCCTTAGTAATAGTGCCGTTCACCCGTGAACCACGGTTCACGAGTGAAAAAAAAGAAATTGACAAAGTAAATTCTATGATTAAGAAGTTTTTTAACTTGCAGATTAATGCGATCTATAATCGAATTGATTACCTCGAAGACTAAGTCGCTAACTTAATTTCCCGACGCTTTGTTCAATCCTAACTTTAAGTTCGATTCGAAGACCGCGACGAAGCCTTTACTAAATATACCGCTTAAGATGTTCGAAGTGAGGTCAACCTCGAAAAAGGAGTTCAGATTGCTGCTATCGGCTACGGACTACAAAAACGAAAAAGAAGAAAAAGTAAAAGATACGAGAGCTAAATGCAAGATTATAGCTTTTGCAAGAACTCCGAAGACACAACTCAAGCTCTTTATTAATACCGAGATAAGTGTAAGGCTTTTAAAGACATAATCAATAAAAGATGTATTCATATTAGTGATTACGGACGCTTTTGCTTAAGACTTAAAAGGATCGGTGCTTTTATTATCTAAAAGAAGCAAAGAAAGACTTAGTTTAGATCTATCGTGCTAAACGTTCGTAAGACGGAATACGACAACATCTTAAAGAATCGGCCTACTAGCGGACCTAAGACTTATAAACACCTATTCTTTTATCAACAACCAATCCAACAGCCAGCTTAATATCAGCCCGATTAAAATGTTCAGCAACTAACCAACCAGCCAAAAAAGCTTATCACCATTCTTAAAAGACCAGTCGACACCAAAAATATTAATGCTATAAGATAGATTAATACGCTTAACTACCTATCCAGCATAAAGGTTGCCTCGATCGAGATCAACGCCGCCGCAAAAGACAAAGCTAAAAAGCCTCTCTAGCCTTCGGAAGGATCCAAGCCCACTAAGATCAAGAAGAATATCCGATAACAAAAAAAAAAGAACTACGGCACCTTTAAAGCCCGTGCCTCTCAAGAATCGGGTACTGCTATAAAGATAGATTCGAAGGATAAGCTGTTCGATGGTTTAATTAAAAAAGAGTCTTCTAGACCTTCTAGACTAACTAAAGCCGACGAAGCTATAAAAGATGTGGAAGGAAAAGTTGAGATCATTTAGCGAGTACCAAGAAGAAGAAAGAAAAGGACCTACAGACGAAAGAAGTTCATTAACCCTTACGTTACTATTAAAGCTCAAGAAAAAGCAATAGCGGCGATTATGAAATCGAGAATCGAAGTCTAAATTAAAGACTTGTTCGGACTCAGCTCTCGCTTCGACAAGCTATTAAGCCACCACATTCCAATAGTCTCCGATGCTAAAGAAAACGTAAAGGTCCTTTAAGGTAAGCTTATTCTTGTGAACGCCTCAACTATTAAACGTTTAAGTCGGAATGAAAAAGGCAAGCTAGACCTCTTAGCGACGCAAATCCGCAAACAACTTATCGCTCGCAACTGCTTCGAAATAGCGATAAAGACCTTAAAGGTTTTCATTAATATCGACGGTATAATTAAAAGCAGATCCTTCTTCGATAATAGATCTAAAGTCAACGTAATAAACAAAAAAGTAGCTAAGATAGCTAAACTACTTATTATAACGGATCGAGCCTTAATCTATACTATTGTGTCCGAGGATCTTTACAACTTCGATAAGTAAATAAACGACGTCGAAGTCATTATCGGCGGAATCACTAATTACGCTGATTTTTTTATTATTAATAATAGCAGTCACGAGGTCATCTTAAGCATGCTTTTCTTCTTAGAATCTTAACTTTCTTTTTCTTACCTCGATAATAACACGATAAAAGCCTCTTTTTAAAACTACGATCGATCCACTTAAGGCCAGATTATTATTGCAAAAGACAAGTCGGATTTGGTTAAAGACCCGGGAAACTAATCGCCAGCATATAAGCTAAGATGGATGCTAAGCTAAAAAGAAGCTTAGAAAGAAATTCCGCTCGTAAACCATAGTTCACGAGTAGATCGGCACAAAAATAACAAAATTATAAAAAAACAATTCAACCTAATACTAAGCAAAGCTCACCAAAATCAAAAACATTAAAAATATTTGCAATCAAACTCGACAAATCAAAAAATTTCATATTTATTATCGACAACGACAAAGACCTTTTAAGAAGGAATGTGATAGAAGTTAATACGATGTACAAGAAGAAAGCAAAGAAGGTCAGACCGGTAGATTTAAAAGTGTCGGATAAAGAGATACTTAAAAGGATCGACGATTAGTTCGAGCAAGATGAAAAAGCGAGACCTCTTAAGCTTAAAAGACCCTTTTCGGAATACTTTACTAGCAAGTTTTCAGACTTAAAAGTTGGATCAAGATTGACGAAAAAACGATTTAAAGCACTTACGATTAACTCTTAAGTCACTTCGAAAGAAAGAGAGCTGCTTTACCAATGCTTTTTGAATCGAAAGGAAGCGATAGCTTAAGATTTTACTTATCTTAGCTAAGTCCGGAAGAAAGTCATGCCGCTTTAAAAGATTAAGACGGTGCTTTACGAAGCTTAACAAGAAAAGACGTTTACGGTACCGAAGGCTTTGCAAAAGATAGTCATCTTTATATTAAAGGAACGATTAAAGCAAAGAGTCTTCGAACCATGCTAAAGCTCTTACCGGAACAAGTAGTTTATTATAGCGAAGAAAGAGAAAGGAAAATACAAGCTGATCACTACCGTAATTAAGATGAACCGTATGACGGTTAAGGACGCTAATATTGCTCCGAACGTAGACTAGTTCTCGAACGAATTTGCCGGTCTTACAATAGCTATACTCTTAAATTTCTTTTTTAAATACGATCAATTCCTCTTCGACGTTAAGTCTAAAGATATAATAGCTATTCAAACGCTTATCGGACTGCTTTAGATGACCCGGATACTCATAAGAGCTACTAATTCGATCGCTCAATTCGTTAAGGTCATCTATAAGATCCTTATAGACTGCATTCTTAACGTCTACTTGCTTTACATAGATGACGTAAGAGTTAAAAGATCGCGATCCTTTTATAATTACGAAGAAGTTTTGCTTAGAATTCGACGATTCGTTTTAAAGCACATCTAAAATATCGATAAAGTGCTCGTAAGGTTTGAAAGAGCTAAGACGACCGTCGGAACGAAATCTTAATATTGCATGCTTAGCCTCAACATCGTTAAATTCGTCATAGATAGCGAAAGACGCTACCCTTAAACCGCTAAAATTAAAAAGATATTAGAATAGACTAAGTGCGAGGACGTATCGGAAGCCCGAGCTTTTATTAGCATCGTAGTTTATTACAGAATCTAGATCAAAAACTTCTTTACGATTGCTGCTTTAATCTACGCAACGATAAAAAAAAGGGTCGAATTCGAGTAGTTAAAGCCTTAACAAGAAGCGATAAGGCTGCTTAAGGAAGCCTTGCTCTTTGCCCCCGCTTTTATCAAGATCGACTATAGCAAAGACGGAAGGAAAATTTACTTGACGGTAAACGCTAGTCTCAAAAGATAAAAAGCAGTATTGCAGCAAAAGGATTCCGACAAAAAGCGATATCCTGCTAAGTTCGAAAGTGGTCTTTAGAACTTTGCGGAAAGCAAGTACGACGCGACCAAGCGAGAATGCCGCAGTGCTTTAAAAGCTATGAAAAAGATGAAGAGCGAACTATACAGAGTTCACTTCATTTTAAAAACCGACGTTAAAGTACTAGTTGATCAACTCAACGGATCAGCAAGCGACTTGCTTAAAGCCTTCGTTACGAATTGGATTGCGTAGATAAGATTGATAGACTTTAAAATCAAGCACATCTTTAGGACCAAAAACACGGCGGCGGACGGTCTCTTTAAGAGAAGAAGAGAGCATCTTTTAGACATCAAAGAAAGAAAAAAGAAAGATATTAACGATTAAGTCACTAACGAGCTAAGCACTATTTTAGTATTCTCGATTAAACGACTTGTAAACTATAGTTCACGGGCCAAAAAAAGAGTTTTAAAGCACGACTATTCGCCCGACTCCGAGCTCATTGCCTAATTCTTCACTACTCTTAAACGCTCTCTTTCGATTAAGACCTACGACTTCCAGAAATTCAAGAACAAAGCACTCAACTACTTGGTCAAAGATAGTTACTTTTATAAGCGAGCAGACAATTCTTACCCGATCAAGCTAGTTATTAACGGAACTTAAAAACGCCATACTGCCATTTCCGACGCTTACCGAGAATCCGGACATAAAAAAGCTGAGTCAACTTACTACCGCACGTCAAAACTCTTCTTCTAGAATAGATGCTACGAAGACTGCAAAGCCTTCGTTCAAAGCTATAAGCCCTGTCAGAAGCGCAAAGCTAGACGAACAGAAAACCCTTTATACTCGACCTAGCCTACTTAAATGTGGTCAAAAGTCAGCTTAAACGTATCACGAGTTCTTACCACCGACAAAAGAATGACCTGCTTCGTACTAGCTAAAGAAGATCTATTTAAATAGCCGGAAGAGCGGCCACTTCGATCGGCCAACGCCGAATCTATTACTAAGTTCTTTTAAAAGGATATCGTTTGCCGCTATAGATTATTCGAAAGATTGACTATCGATAAAAGACTTGAGAACAAAGCAGTTGCTAAGGCTTTCGCTATTAAGTACGAGATCAAAAGGGTCTAAATCTTAAGCTATAATTTAAAAGCCAATAGAATGATTGAGAGAAGCTATAAAAACATCTTAGATAGCTTATCGAAAGTCACAAACGAAGGATTCAAGGATTAGGTTCGCAAATTCAATAAGATGCTCTTTGCGGTCCGGACATCGATACACGCACTTATTAAAGTCACCTTCTTCTTCCTGAACTACGGACGAGAAGCTAAGCTACCTTTAGAGTCACGATAGCCAATCTAAAGATTACTACCTTAGTAAGAGATTCGATCCCGCGCTAACCTGCTTGCTATAAGGTTCAGACAATTAAAACTTCGGAATGAAAATATCGACGAGATTATCTTAAAGAAGAAACGCCATCGACTTGCCGCTAAAGCTACCTAAGAACGAGTCAAAGTCTTGAAGTCGGAACCTATCAAAGAAAAAGACTTAGTACTGCTTTACGATGTTAAACGCAGCATCGACATGTCCGCGGACACTAAGCTAGACTACAAATAGCTAAGACCTTATGTCGTCTCTAAAGCTTACGACAAAGGATACTACAAGCTCTAAGAAACCGATAAGACTGAGCTCAAAAGCACTTTTACAGCCAACCGCCTTAAGCGATTCTACCGCCGCAACCAAACCCTCTTTCCTTTTGATAAAGACGACGAAGAAGAAGAAGAGGAAAATTCGGGCTCCTTAAACGACTCGGACTTTAGCGAATACGAGCCCTCCGACGACGGCAAAAGTGAACTATTTAACTTAAAGGTGACCCTTGGACCTAGGTCTACTAACTTCTAAATCATTTCCTTAACACTTTCGAAAGAACAAAAACTAGCTTACAAAATTGTTTCTTAGTCTGTTTCTTTTACTTTGTTTTTTCTTACTTTCTTATCCTCTCTTTGTTCTACACCTATTTTATAAGAAGACGTGCCCTCAATGATCACTCTCTTTGTTATTAATAAGGAAGGGTATTTCTTACGTTTGTTCTTTCACCTTTAGACCTGCCTTTTATTATATTCTCTATTCTTTCTTTGTTCTTTTCACCTTACTAGCTATTCACTTGTCTTACATAGATTGTTCTTATTGTTTGATTGTTTTTCACTTGTTTAAGCTTATACGGCTATTTCTTATTTCCTATTTAAGACTGTTCCCTTGTTTTAAGCGTGCTCAACCACGTGTATTCGAAGGTGAACTGCTATTAGAAAGAGTAGGTCCTCCTCACAAATATACTTATATAAGAAAGCTCTCCCCTCTTTCTTCTCAACATTTTCTCTCCTTATACAACAACAACTACAACAACACTACCACTACCCCCTCTTCACAACTACACAATACTATACCAACACCAACGACCCTAATCATCATTCAGTCAATCACTACTACTATCAGCCCTTATTCCGCTATCTCATGTTTGGCCCGTGAACCGTGGTTCACGAGTCAGATATGCCTCCCAAGTCAGCCGCCGCCAAGGGAAAAGCCCCTGTCCGTGATGCACCCTCCCAGCCTGAGGAGAACGAAGGAGTTGAGGACGTGAGCACGGAAGGAGACCATAAGGAAGCTGCCGAAGCGTAGTTTGGTAGTTTGGATGTTTGGAGTTTGGAGACAAGATACCCCCCCCCTTTTTTTGTACACTAGATTTTTTCTTTCTTCTACACCCCCTTTTTTCTTCTTTGCTTGATGGTAGGCGGGGGCGCCTACTTATTCTATGAGAGGACGGATGTAAACACCCTGCCTGATGGGGTACCTGCCATGGCCACTAAGGCTACACTAGACGGACCCATCTTCTATAAGAGGGCACACATCTCTTAGCTAGAACAATCAACGAGCTTTCCACCCACCTTTTCTGACATCTCTTTTGTGAGACCATGAGGTCCAGCCTCAGAGCCAGGCTTCTATACAGCACATCTTTTTGAGTGCTTCTACACTAAAAGCTTCGTCAAGCTTTATATCTATTATATCTATAAGTATTTTGAAGCTCTTTTAACTTTGACTTTTGATAAAAGACCTTAATACTGGTCCGAGTTTTAGAAAGAATTTAATAAGATCCTCGGCATTAAACTGACCCTTAGCACCGCCGCACACTTTAAGACTGACGGTTAGACCGAAATCTATAACCAGTACTTGCAGAAGCGCTTCCGTCCTTTCGTAAGCTATTATCAAGACGATTAGAGTGAGTTCCTTTTTATAATAGACTTCGCCTAATTGACGCTCTTTTACGACTCTTTCGGCGGCCTCTCCCTTTTTAAGGTAATTCACGGCTACGCCTTTCGGACCACTTGGAATTAGAGCTTGGAACGACTTAACGACTAAACCCTTTTTCGCAAGCTCAATTAAGACGAAGCTCGCGCTTACGCTAACCGCCACTTCGGAGCTTGGAACCTCGCTAGAGAGCACCTCTAGCGCGCTCAAGACCGCATAGCTAAACAAGTTAATAAATCAAAGCGCTCGGTTGATGTTGGATTGCTTCCAAGCGATTGGGAATATATATTCGTAAGGTCGTAACGGTCGTCAAAGTACTTGCAATTGCAAAACACTCGGTTGATAAAGTATCTGAATTCTGTCTGCTCCCCAAGATTCAGAGGAGCTGATTCCTTCTATAGGACTAAAAGGAATCACGTGCACTAGCTAATTAATAGGCTTACTTGTCAAGTTGGGGGTCCTTTGACTGCTGACATGCTAAGCGAGGCATGCTAAGTGGCCCGTGAACCATGGTTCATAGGTGAGCTTCCCCAACTATTACTACTAGCTAGCTAAGGTCGATATGGATATACCGACACCGGCAACTCTCTCTTTGGCAAGCAGTGCCTTGCCAACTACTATATCGACCGAAAAAAGAAGGAAGGTAATCAAACAAAAGAGAAAAAAACAATCTTATCTCTCCCTCTTTTACAACGGCCTTTCCATCTACCCGTCCACTTGCACCTTCAAGGTATTGGTTAAAACTAGCTCTTGCAAAGAGGTATTGGCCCCGACTTTAGTTATGGCGTCAGCAGGGTTGGATTTTCCTCCGATCCAGCGTACTTTAGAGAGCTCTCGCCTCTCGTATGACTCCCGAATAGCTATAATATCGATCATGAGGCGCTTCTCCTTAGTAGTCCCTAGCTTTACTATATACTCGTAGAGCGAGTAAAAGTTAATGCACACAACTACGAGGAAATTAGGGATCCTTAACTAAGCTGTGATTTAGGCAAAGGTAGTCGACATAACAATAGCCATATCGATACTTAAGGACATAGCGTATAGCTTAAAGGCTAGTACTGCCCTTGTGACCCTCTTGCACTTCTGTAACACTCAATAAAGGATGTTACCCGTCAGAATGAACTCGTTCTCACTTACGTAGGCCTCATTGCTAAGGATAGCTACGAAACCGATCTAAGAGCTAAGGTCAGCGTTGTTGGCAAACGCTTCGTCTACGAACACAAAGAGCTTCGCCGTCCTCAAGTCTAAGAGCACGTAATGGATCCTTCGAGTTAAGTGATCGATCAGCTACTAGATCACCTTATTAAAGGCTTTGTAGTCCTTATCCTTTGGTTCCTAGTGCTAGGCAGCTATCGATAAGGCACAAGATGCCTTTAGGTAGCAAATGGTAGCTAAATACGCCCTTCGGGCACGTTGCTCCAAGTACTCTTTAGCCCGCGTTGCTAAATCGAGCTTGATCACGGCAAGCTTCTCACCCTGCCCTTTTTGCTTAACTAACAGTCCGAACCCGTCTTTATCCAAGGATAGCTTGCATTTATTGAAAATCATCGGTTCGGCGTGTGTAAAGGTCTCCATTTCCTTGCTCTTCAGCTTGGATTTAACCAACTCCCTCTCTTCTTTTGCTCTTATAGCTCGATTGACAACTATAAGAACATCGTCCGTCTATAAGGCAGCTATTCTTAGCTGATCTTTGTTAGTTGACATAAAGAGGCAAGAATCAAAGCTCGATTGCTTTATCTCGAGGTTGTTCGTAAAATGCTTTGAAAAACGCTTATACCAGTGCGTTCTTGCTTCGAGAATGCCGTATAAAGGGCTAGTCATAAAGAACAAAGTGCTAAAGGGGAATCGATAAGTGATCTTTTTAAGTGGTCGCACGACGATTATTCGGATAAGCTTCGTGCTTAACTGAGTGTAAGCTTGAGTGATATCTCTGCTATAGACCTGACACCCGTAGTCCTTTATCAGCGAAAGAGCCAGAGCACAACAGAGTCTTTAACCCGCTCGCTGTACCGTAAAGGACTCGGTGAGTACTTTCGTCTTGCCTTTATCCTGAAAAGCTTGGACTACTATACGAGACTTTTCGTATAGCGTTAGTGTTCCTTTGCCCTTGATCTTATCAACAAACTTAAATCCGAAGATCTTAGCGCCCTTAGCGCGTGGGTCGGTGCCCGGGATCACTTAAAAGATGCTTTAAGCTATCAATCTAGCCAATTCCTTTGCTTTAGACTCTTGAAATAGTGCCTCGAGGCTCTTGATAATTCCTTCGGCTCGTAGCTTAGCTAAGAGCTCATAGTCCCGGCGTTCTTTGTCGGTAATCAACACCTCGGAGTCCTTAGTAAATAGAACGTAGGAATCGCCTTCTTCTTCGTCGAGCACGGTCGGGATACTAAGATCGTACTTCTGGTAAGGTATCTGGACCATTAGTATTGTTGACTTCTAAGGATTGACAAGTTGAGGGTTGGGGGGGCTGTTTGCTGATTTAGGCGAGCTTCTTGGATTAAGCGACCTCGGTGGATTAGGCGAATGTTGAGGTTTAAGCGAATTTCGTATTTCCAGCTCTTTTTCGCCTTCGCTTTGATCTTCTTCTACCTCTACCTCAGGTACTTGCAACTCTTCTAGCAGCTTTTCAACTTCAGAGTAGTAAGGTTTTACTGAGGTTGACCTGAATTCCGTAGGCCTCGGACATGCCATTGTGCACGTATGCCCTTGCTTGCTAAGCAGCTGAAAGGGGCCCTTCTACCCTTGGTTTTCTCGCTATACGAGCACCCGTGAGCCAATAGGGAGGTCTAGGGTATGCTCCGTAATTGGGCCATTCCTCCTCTTGAGCGCGTCTTTAACCTGCCTCGCAGCGTAGCATTTTCGTACTTCCTTTATAGCCTTGTTGATAGCAGCAGCACGCTCTTGGGTAGACGCGGCAGGTCGATCTTGTTCCGTTAGCTTTAATAAGGTGCCAAAAACGAGAAGCGTAAGGACCAGGCCATTAGGTCCCGCCGTGTCGTTGATAGCTTTGATGGCCATTTGAAGCCGGTCCTCCCTTAAGGCTTTTAGAAGCTCCTTTGTGACGATCTTAAAGGCGCGTCGCATAAAGACGTAGTAGCGTTCCACTAGCCCGACGCTATGATAGGCTTCTACAAGCATCTGCTTTAAGGTGCTGCTAATACCTTTAAAGTAGCTTCGGAACGTTGCCGAATTGAAGTTGATTTCGGGATCGTGCACGACGTTTATAAGGGGTCCGACGTAAGTGTTGACCCAGCATCTACTGAATCTCTTAAGTAAGTGCTGTGCGGACATACTTTTAAGGAAAGTGGCGGCTTGAAAATTAGTAGAATCGCAGACGACGTGTAATACGTTTTTGCCGTTAAGGTGCATTACGTCTACGTATACCGTATTATTAAAGTCAGTATCATCCTTGAGTCTGATACTAAACCTCTTCGAGGAACGTCCGAATACTTAGCAGTGGTAGCAAAACTTTTAGATATTGTAAAGCAAATCCCGTTTAAATTCGTGCTCGGCCTTTTTGAGAACAGCAGCAAATCGACTTGCTAAAAGGTAGCCAAAACGCTTATAGATGGTTTTCAATTGCTCTTCCGTAAGGTAGCAGTAGACGGTCTCGCCCTCGGTGCTGTAGTAAGTAGCAGCGTGCTCTTTACTTAATAGCATCCACACGTGCTTAAACATCTTTACTACTAGTATTTCCTTTTTCTTTTAGACTAGCACGTTCCGCAAGTTATTTAAGATCATCTTATGCTTGTCTATATCAGCTAATAAGAATAAGAAGAGTACGTCGCTCTTCACAACGTGGAACTCTACTTGACTCAAGGGTGTTTCTAAGGTAACTGCTCTAATAGAGGTAGCAGAGCCAATCTTGTATTTGACGGACTTTTCTCTTGCCCGAGATGTATCCAATTAGACCTCGAGGTACTTCTTTTAGAGTGCTCGTAGCTAGGGCAAGCTAGCGGTAGAGAAATTGGCTGCTCCGCTGTCAATCATGAGGCCTATAAACACGTTTTCAAAGTACTTGAAGGCCATATAAGTCTTTGCTTTGCCCGTAGGTACGTTTTGGGTCTCGATTTGGCTGGTAAGGGCGTGGAATGCCGTTTAAATCTCCAGTTGCTTATATACTTCGTCAGCGTCAAAGGTGCCGTAGGTAGTCACAAAACCTTCTGATATGTTGGCGTGGCTGCCTGATTCGGGCGGCTCGTCTAGTAGGCTTGCGATAAACTGATCGAATTCTTCCGTGGATATAAGTGGCAAGCCTTCAATCGATGCTACGTATTGAGAGAATTTGCTTCTCGTCACCCTTTTTGCGTCCTTAGAGGCTTGGAACTTAGCAATGGATGCTTTTCTTTCGTCGAGGGTGTGGTTGGTGCTCTAGCAACCTGGCTTTTTGCAAACAAAACACCTTTTCTCACCCTTAGTAGCCTTAGCAGCTTTCTTACCTCCGAAGTATTGGCGGTCTTGAATAAAGCATTCGTATTCTTCGTCTAAATCGGAGTCAGCCTCTAAGGTGTTGTGCTAAGAGCAGGTGTGGTCGTGTGGCTCGCTAGAGCTCGCGTAAGCTCTAGCCTTAGCGGGTCGGGAAGACTCAGTTGCAAATGCAATTGCTCGGCGGATGTCGGCAACTGCGGCGGTAGAGGTAAACGCAGGGTTCATTCGTGCAATCGTAGTCTCTAGTACGTTTTTACAAGCTGAATACAGCTTGTCAGCAAGACTTCGATCGTCCTTCAAACTTGGTCGTAAAGAGCTTTGAATGCCCTTGAGCTCTTTAGCGAGCTTCTTAAAGCACTCGCTAAGCGAGGTCCCTGGATTCTCTTTCTTGACCAAATCTAGCGAAATTTCTTCTTAGCGGTCGTATTTTGCTTGCCGCCGGTGGTCAGTCTCGAAGTGGTCCTTTATAGCAATAGCGTTTGCTTTAAACGTCGGAAGCTTGGCCTTTATCACATGATTGTAATAGAAGGTTATAGCTTCTCCCGTAAGCATAATTAGGAACGCTGCTAAATAGTCGTCGGATGTCAAGCCGTACCGACTTGCTTAGTTAGCGAAAATACTTAATTAGGTCTTGAAGTCATCGTCGGGTCCCGAATACTTCAGTTCCTTAAGAAAGCTTCTTGCAAACAAGGCCAACTCCTTTGCTCTTAGGTGAGGGTCAGTTGCTCTTAGCTTAAGGAAATCGTCACTATCATCGTCAAGGGCGCCTGGAGTGCCGTACGCAGGCGTGTTGTGCTTAGCTAATAGTCTGATCGGTAAGGGGTTACCGATATAGTTGCCGGTGGTCCGTCCTCTTCCAAGGTCCTTAAGAGGCTTATTTCCGAATCCGGGGTCCTTTGAGGGTCCGTTTCCGAATCCCCTTGGTGGTCCAAGAGGCCCGTTCCTACCCCCTCCGTATCCGTAGCCTCGATCTCCTTGCTAATCTCCTTCGTTTCCCCTTCGTCGGTTATCGTCAAGATCGCCAAAGCCATTTAGGTCATCAGCCGGGGCTCTAGCTTGGTGATATCCGTACCCCTAAGCGCGTTCTTAGCGATTCTTATACCCTTAGTATCCCTCTTGTCGATACGTAGCCTGTTGAGGGATCTAGGGAGCTTGTCGGTACGTCCGAGGGTGCTAGATCCCCCCTTCGGGTTGCTGAATTCCCCTCTCGGGTTGCTTAGGTTAGGCACGGAAATCTGCACGCTGTCCTTAGCGAGAGCTGATTTTGTCCGGAATGCTCTCAGGTTTTGGCGGGTCCTCTTTTAGCGTGTAGCTCCCGTGGCCTCGAGTGTTGTCTAGTCCGATGATGATCTCAAGACTATTTTTGTTGCTACTCGGTCCAAGCTTTTCAGAAAACTAGGTGTAGCCTTTGAAAAAGGGGTTTGAAGGCCGCTGAGGTGATTTTAGCTCTTGTATGATTGGCGTATTGCGTAGCGATTGATGAATTGAGGGCGTCGAGTACGCTGAAGTGCTTCGTCGTAGCTCTTCATTAGATTGTATAACGTAGGTCCGTAATTCCGCCATTTGCCTTGCCATAGCCTCCATATTTCGTTCCATATCGCTCCTTTCCCTTAAAAACTCCTCGCGTAACCTCCGAATCTCCTCCCCTTCTTCCCTCCTGCCTGAGGCCTCCTTTTCCTTCCCTTTTGGACTGCGCGAGGGTGGAGGTGGTTGAGGTGTAGTATCCTCGTCGTCCGTGAGGTTTTCGGCGGTCCACCTTGAATCGAGACCTAAGGGTGTTGCCTGTTGCTCCTTTATCTCCTCGAGGGTCTACTAGTGCTGCCGCTCGTCGTTCAAAAGCTTGACCATCCTATTAGCGTAGCCCTTTTGCTTTGGGGGGTACCACACGCCTTTAGACAGCAAGTGTTCCTTGAGGCTAATAAGAGTAGCATACTTAAGGCCTCGTCCCGTATTATCCCCCGTCATCGTAAAACTGGTCCAATCTTAGCGTGAGAACGCGTGCCGGAATAAGCTCTACAAGTCGTAATCTTTCAGCCCTTTACACTTCGCATCCAAGAAGTCCTTCACTATCGCTCGGGCCGTGATCTCATTGTCTAGCCTTGCGTATAGCAGCTCGTTTAAGTCAAATGAGATGCCCGATATCTCGTCATCTGGCCCTTCCGAGAGGCTTAAGAGTCTTAGGTATAGAGTTTGTTTTGGCTGAATAGCTGGGGGTTCCGTGGGTAGTGATGAGACTCGAGAGGTATAATACCTTATTGCTCCTTGTCGGCTGGACTCCTTACCCGGAGGTCCAGTTGCTCGATCGGCCATAATTGCTGTCTGCTCGTACGTAGATCGATCTTGTTGGTTGGGTTTGCTATATGTAGCAGGCGCGGCTCTTACAGCGTTGAAGGTTGTTGTTTTTGAAAGTGACTTAGTTCGGAATCACTCTTCCGTAGGAATGGGGAAAAATCGGTGGTATAAGCAAGCGACTTGGTACGGAATCGCTCTTCCGTTGTAAGGGAAAGGTATCGAGGTGTAAAAAAGCGACTTGGTACGGAATCGCTCTTCCGTTGTAGAAAGAAGGAAGTATCGTAGTAAAAGGTATCCTCGCTATAGAGTCCTAGCTTCTTTGTGATTGATCACTTAGTAGTAAATCAACCACTGATCAATGTTAGATTGCTTCTAAGCGATTGGGAATATATATTCGTAAGGTCGTAACGGTCGTCAAAGTACTTGCAATTGCAAAACACTCGGTTGATAAGGTATCTGAATTCTGTCTGCTCCTTAAGATTCAGGGGAGCTGATTCCTTCTATAGGACTAGAAGGAATCACGTGCACTAGCTAACTAATAGGCTTACTTGTCAAGTTAGGGGTCCCTTGACTGCTGACATGCTAAGCGAGGCATGCCAAGTGGCCCGTGAACCATGGTTCATGGGTGAGCTTCCCTAACTACTACTACTAGCTAGCTAAGGTCGATATGGATATACCGACAGTTGACTTCGACGTTAATGATAAGGTTTGGTTGGATATGCGCTCGTTCTTTACCTCTCGACCGTTAAAGAAGCTCGATAACCCGACGAACGGACCGTTCGAAGTTACCGACAACGTTTATAGCAGCTTTAAACTTAAGCTTCTCGAATTAATAAAGGTTCACTTAGTCTTCTACTTCGGACGGCTACGAAAAGCTCTTAATGACCTCACCTTCGAGCAAATCATTTTTAAACCTGACCCGATTAATATCACTAGCGAACTTGAGTACGAAGTAGAGAATATCTTAGCCGTACGCTAAACTAAGAAGCACTTTAAGTACCGCGCTTTTTAGCTCGGCCGCGATATTGACTTTACTTAATACTCCGCCTCCGACTTCATGTACGCTCTTTTTAAGATACGTGACTTCTACTTGGAATACAAAGAGCTCTTCGGCCTTCTCGCGAAGCTCTTCGACTGGATTAAGGCTTATTCGGACGGTGTTGATGATTACGATCACTTGAGTAGTGATAAAGCAATGGATAGACGCTCGAGGACGAGCTTTTTTCGGACGGAAGGGTAGTGTAACGACACGCCAAGTCTCTTAGACGCACCTTATATGCGCTAAGCTACTTCCCTCCTTTTTCCTTTCGTATTCTTCGTATTCTTTTATTCTCCGCTTTTGACTTATGAACTATGGTTCACGAGTCTTTAGCGCTTTTACCTTCGTGTATATAGACCTTAGCTACCTTCGACCTTTATACTCGGTAGTTGTTGATTCTAAGTCATTACTTTGAGATTCTCCTGAGCTTCTATGTGAACCTCGCGCTCCCGTGAGTTCCTTCAGGTAATCGCTTAAGGTCGTCACATTTTGCTCCGCTTACTTAGATAATATCTTTATTTACTTAACAAACGAGCTAGAGCATACGGAGTATATCAAGAAGATCATGCGCATTCTTAACGACTATAGCTTTCAAGCTGATATCAAGAAATGCGAGTTTAGCGTTTACAAGACTAAATTCCTTAAGTTTATTATTAGTATTAATAGTATTGAAGTTGATTCGGACAAAATTACAATTATCACCGATTAGAAATATAATAAGAATGTCTAAAGCGTCTAGTCTTTCTTCGGATTTTGCAATTTTTACCGCTGTTTTATCAAAGGGTTCAATCAGCTTTACAAACCTCTTAATGCTCTTACGGCAAAGAACGCTTTATTCTTTTTCACTTCTACTTGCAAGGAAGCTTAAGATAAGCTTAAACTAGCTTTGCAACATGCTTTTATTTTATATTATTTTGACTTTTACAAGCAAACTCGCTTCGAGACTGATTCTTTTGATAGCGTCGTAGCAAGCGTTCTTTTTCAATTGCAAAACGATGGTTTCTATTACCTCGTCGAGTTCTTTTTTAAAATAATAACTAATGCAAAGCTTAATTACTTTATCTATAACAAAAAGCTTTTAGCTATTTTCCGTTCTTTTTAAAACTATAAGCTTAAACTCTTTAGCTTTTAAAAGTCAATTTACGTTTATATAAACTACCGTGCTTTCGAATACTTTATAATTACGAAAGATCTTACGGCACGCTAAGCACGCTAAGCTGAATTTTTCGCTGACTTTCATTTCCTTATTATATATCGCAATAGCGCTACGAATACGCTAGTTGATGCTCTTTTTCGCCGGGATCAAGATATTTCCTTTTTAAAAGCTCGATAGCGTGCTATTAAAAAGTAATAATTACTCTTTAACAAAAAGCTTTCGCTTAAAGTGCTTTAAGACTTGTACGAACTCTTTTCCGACCTTTTTGCTAAGCTTGCTAAGTATAGCGTGATTAATGATTCGGTCTACGTCGTACAATTCATTTTAATCGTTTTAGCTTTTATATAAAAAGTCTTTTCGGACCTGCTTATTTCGGAAGACGTCTTTTTAAACAAAGATCTCGTACATCACATTAATATGATAGCATACGATATCGACGGCTACGATATTATCGACCGTATGCTTTAAAGCAACCGTGATTCCTTTCTTTTATAAGACTTACAAGACTTTATCATCGAAAGCTATAATATTGATCACGATTTACGCAATAGCAAGCTTTACTTTTAAGGCCGTCTAGTAATCCTTTTAAAGCCTTTTAAGCTCCGCACAGCTCTTATCCGCTACGTGCACGACTAACTTTGCGTAGCGCACGCTAGTATTATTAAAACAAAACAATTGTTAAAACGCAAATACTTTTGAAAAGGACTTAGCTCCGACGTCATACGCTATATCTTTAATTGTAGATGCGCTAAAATAAAAGCTAAGCGTGATAAGACTTTAAGTCTTTTAATGCTCTTTCTTATTTTAGCTCGCTTTAATTAGCACTTAACGGTCGACTTTACGGAATTGCTATTAAACGAAGATAATTACGACTTTGCTCTCGTGATCGTGTGCTGATTATTAAAACGTTCCGTCACACTTCTTTATTATAAAGAAGTCACTGCGAAAGACTTAACTGTTTTGTTTCTTACGAATTAAGTCTGTTACTTCGGCATGCTCGATTTTATTATCTCCGATCGTAGCTTTTAGTTCGTATCCGCTTTTTAGCGCGAGTTTTACAAAATATTCGGCATTAAAGTCAAGCTTATTACAGCTTACAACCTTAATATAAATAAGCAAACTAAAGTAATAAACTAATATATTAAGCAGCGGTTGCGCTTCTTTTGCACTTATTACTAAGACAACTAAAGCTACTTAATGCTTCTTATAAATATAGCTTAACTGACTTTGCTATATAAATCTCTTAAAAGAATTACTTTATTTTAAGTAACTAATAGCTACGAATCTCGCTCTTCTTTCGACTTAGTTAACCTTGAACCTTTTTCTTTTATTATAAAACGCCTTAACCGCGCGGAAGCAGTGCACGTCGCTATTAAAGCGTATAACGCTATCGCTTTTGCTTAATCGTTAATTGCAGTTTAGCAAAAGAAAATGAAACGTTTTGCAGACTTCCGACGGCGACTTATAAATTAGACCGTAGAAGACGAAGTATAGATTAATACTCGCAATTAGAAAATAAACCGGCTTTCTAAGAAGCTTTCTGATAAGTAGTATAGGCTAGTCAAAGTGCTTGCTAAAGTAAAAGAAAGTTGGAAGGTCTAATTACTTAAAGGTTAGAAAATACACTTTGTTTTTTACTTTTACTCTTTACGCAAGTACACTAGAAACCTTTTGCTAAGCTAAGTCCGTAAGCCTTTTGCACTTATTCAGCTCCTTTTAGAACAAGATGAATAAAAGATTGAGGAAATCCTTAGTTTTAAGGTCTCTCGCAACACTTTATACTATCAAATCAAGTAGACTAGTGCTGATAACGACCTCAATTAGTACCTTTGCTCCGACGTTATAACGGGCCCTTATATGCTCCGCCGCTTCTACTTAGCTCACCTTCACGCTAAAAGACTATTACGTGCTTTACCGCTTTAATTGCAAGCTTACAACGAAAGTAAAGACGACTATAGCGAATTGGAAGACGACCGATCTATAATTGCAACTGCGAGGACGCAGTTTTTCGGGATCGATTAAAGCGTCATGAGGCCATAAGGCAGAAACAGGCACACACGCATTAGACAGCCACTCGGACGCCGAACCTCCGACGGAGCTAATCTCAATCAGGTATAGCCTACATCATTCCCGCATTAACTACTCCGTAAACGATTGACTAACAAACGCGCTCATAAAATCGGCTAAGTCGCTAAACTCCGATACTTTATATAAAAATTCGAGTTCGAATCGAATTTAAAGTTTCGCTCGTGATTGATTTGATTCGAGTATCACGTGCGAGGCTCGTCAAGCGGCCGCTAGCTTCGGCTAACTAATCCTTTATTCTTTTAACCAAGGCCTGCTTGCTAGCACCGTATAGTAACAAAAAGAAAGCTAAAAGCGGAAGTTTAAAGAGCTTTACGTGCACGCTCGAATCAACACGTGACGTAATAATAAACGTAAAGCTTTTTCAATATAAGTAGTAGTTTATTTCGAAATTAATACACGTTCTCGATAAAAGGCTAAAATAGCTTATAATCAGCTAAATTAAATAAATAAAAATAAAGGTAACGTAAAAGAAGTCGAGCGCACGTGCTTGGTATTATAAAAAGCTAAAAATAGTTTTCATTTTATTGAATTTGCTTTAAGTCAAACGGCAAAGGAAGTAGCGGGAAAAGTGGCGAGAGAGGTGGCGGAAAAGGTGGCGGAAGAAGTGGCGAAGGAGGCTGTGTTATGCGTGTATGCCTGTTTCTGCCTTATGGCCTCATGACGCTTTAATCGATCCCAGTTTTTCGAAGGGGGGGGGTAGTGTTACGGTCTTGGCAAGCCTTTAGCGTGGTTGAAGGATTGGTCAAGGGATCGATTAGTCAGCGGCCCGCTGCCTTAGTCCTATCTAGGATTAGGCTTACACTAGCGGCCGCCTTAGGTACAAGACCTCTCCGCCTTCTTGTATTCTAGCACTTCTTTTCTTCGTCTTTCTTTCTCGATACGAAGCGTACGATTAGATAGTACTATAATACTATCTCTTTCCAGCCGTAGCAGCCTTGGCCGAACCATCTGGCTCCGTGCTTATGGCGCAGCCACTCCTCGGAGTAGGGATTACCTTATTGGGCTAGCTGTATGGTCGATATAATTACTGTAGAGTATATGGTCGATAAAAATAAAGCCATCTACCGTAGAACGCCATTCATTCTTCATCCACCTTTCTTCTTGTAATCAAAATCTTATTCCCTAATCTTGGACATCGACAGCACGATGCTACCTTTGCAATATCTCTGGCCCACTGTGGTGGCCCTGGGCTTTTTGGTCAATCGATCTCAAGCTGAAGATGTTCTCATTGGCTACCGAACAGTCTCCGAGGTAAGTTCAGGCGACTTGAGCTGTATGGCCTGAGCTCACACTAAGCACGTGAGTCATAGGCTGAAGCCCTGCTCATCAATGCCAACAATAAGCCCTTCAGAGATAAAGCCTTTGACGACGTTCAAGGGCTCAACCAAATCGGAAATGGTATTTACCTAGGTGAGCTGATTAACATATACGGATCGTCACTCCCTACGCAGAGCTAATAAGCGCAATAGTAAACACTAATGGTGGCTGGAAGGGTCGGAAACATCAGACCAAGTGGTACTGTTACTTTTTAGCCGATCAAGAGCGGCTCAACAAAACAGAGAAAGTATGGGTTCCAAAATCGTACAAGAAAACGGGCTTCTTTCGCAGCAAGACCACAAGAATCTGGTTCGAGGGCGAGGCAGTCGTTGCAAAGTATGTCAAGAAAATCGTCAAAGACGCTAACAACGCAATCCGCTTCTCGTGGCTCTACGAGCCCGACCTGGACATGGAAATGCTCATTCCAACCGAGATGGTCAACAATGATGCCTTGGGCCTATACGCCCAGTGCTCTCAAAACAGGCTGGAGCTGAGCTACACCGAAGTCGTCGATTGGTCGAGTTGGGCTATTGCCGGAGATTCTGGACCTTATGATTATGCTACACTATTTGTATAGGTGTCTGAGTCCAGTGCGAGGGACATGGGAATAGAGGTAGGAAGGTAGTGAGAAGGGAAAGATCGAGTGCAGGTGCGCTCGACAAGGTAATCATTGTGTATATAGTCCTGTAGGGAGTTAGTTTCCAGTGGTAATTCGGCCTATAACACGTATTTTTTTCATATGACCGCAATGTTATTTATGGACGAGTACCAATCCCCTTCTAGATTCACCATCTTTTTGTACGCAGTTCCACGGATTCGATCATTTAAGTAAAGCGATTTCTCCCACCTTGCCTTTCTTTATATATTGATATATAGGATAGTAACTATATAGAGCTTGTTTACCCTGATATATATCTAATCATGTACGCAGAGAGTTCGAACTAGAATACATATACGGAGTCGAGTTACGAGTGAGTCAGGAGTCATGGCACTTGAGCTAACACTACCCGTCTAAGAGGAAGACGGAATGACTGTATAGTAAACATATAAGTATGGTGGCGAAATACAACAACACAAAGCGACTGATACCACACGACAAGAGCAAAATTGACCAAGGCACGAAAATGATTTGGTTTGCCATTTACGGAGGAGCGTGGTCATCTCACTCTCTCCTCCCTCTGCGTTCCTTCCCTTCTGCCTTCCATCCTCTCGCTCTACGGCTACAGGTCTGTTTCGTTCATCTATCCGCCATACCTCAAGCACACACCCCGCGTGCGTCATAAAAAATCCAGACATACATACATGCTTGCGTGGTCGCTCCAATAGCAGCGCTGTCCATGAACCGAGCAGTGGGTAATCCATCCAGGGGCTCAAGAAGAAACGACCAAACACCAACCAACGAAGCAACTGAATGAGGCGGCCTGTGTACAAATACCACGCGATAACCAGCACAGTCAGTCAGACCTAGCCGCAATTAGAAGGAACAACCCCCAAGGGTACCAGCCAAGCCCAGCCCCAGCCAAAGTCAGGCCGCCCGCCAATGAGCTCCGTCCAGCCCAGTCCAATCCCATCAGAATTATGGTTCCCATGCCCCAAAACGCCGAGCGTATGCAAATGCTTTCCCTTTTATTTGTTTTCATGACTTACGATGCTGCTGCTGCTCGAGTAGAGAGCGGTGGTATCGTTATTTATCGTATCGCATCATCATGCTGCGAGATATCGCAGCTGTAATTATATGTTTGAGTGAGGAGTGAGACTGATGTCGGGAGTCTCGGGGGAATTGCGCTCAATACCTAAGAATGGCTTCGCGAGATGTACTCACGTGTTGATACTCCTGGCTCAGGTCTGTGGATGGATAAGCTAGATATTCGTCATGCCTCATTCCATCATGCTTGTCTCGACATCGTCTTCTTCCAGGAGTTCAATAGCTTCCTTGATTTGCTGACTCGCCTGGAGAATACTTGTCAGCTGAGCTCCACGACCAGGATTTTACACTTTGGACATACCTTTGGATCCAAGTTAAGAGCGACCGTGAAGTGGTGAACAGCTTGTCCTCGCTCTTTGAGCCTCTTGTAAAGCTGCCCAAGGAGGAAATGAACCATAGCCTCATCCGGTGCCAAGTTCTTTAGAATTGTAAGCTCGTCTAGTGCGGCTGGCAACTCATTGATGGCCATCAACGTGCGAGCTTTCTTGAATCTGGTCAGAGCTGACCTCGGAGCCAGTTCCGTAGCTCTTGAGAAGTAAGCCAGCGCCTCCTGCGGGTGCTTCTGCTTCTCAAGGACGGTGCCTATGCAACAAATGAGTACTGCGTTGGTGGGATTGATGTGGGACGCAGCCTCAAAATGGGCATTTGCTTTGTCATAGTTCCCCAGCTTCTCATATACACGGCCAACACCATACCAGGCGTTGTAGTGTCGCCTGTCAGCAGCCATGCCAGAGCGATACGATACCAGAGCCTTGTCGTATTCTTCGTTGGCGACATGTTCGTGGCCTTGAAGAGTGAAGGCGTAAGCGAACTTGGGGTTCAGTTGAGTTGCACGCTTGAAGCAGCGAAGTGCTGACTCGTGATCTCTGGCCAGCGACCATGAATTGCCAAGTGCACACCAAGCCTGAGGGGATTGCCAAGATGCGTCAATCAACTCATGAGCAAGGAAGGCAAGGTCGGTCTCGCGCTTCAAATGCCATAGGATTGTCGAGTAAATCTCCATATCCTCAAATCTGGAAGGACTTGTCTGCCGGATCCGCTTGTAATAAGCCTCTGCTTCTGCGTACGCAGCTTGCTCGTAAAGAGCACGTCCCATCTGAGCCAAAACCCACGAGGTGTCTTGTTGTGCCCTCGGTAACTGGCCGTAAATTTGCAAAGCTTCCGAACAATAATACTTCGAAAGGGCAAAGTAACCACTTCCAAACTTTTTGAAGAGCTCTAGTAAGAAACGCAGCGCCTCCTCTTGCCTTTGAGTATCTAATTCCGAAGACCTTTGTGGTGCTATGTTGGTGACAGCTCCAATCCAGGAGCGCTGGTTGGATTCTCTTTGATCAACATCCATTGAATCTTCCACTGGTTTGCGGTTTCCACTAACTTGGCGCCCAACAGTCGAGGTACTTGAAGTGGGTCGCATGATTCTAGAAATAGGAGGCTTCGCCTTCTTCAACTCTCGTGCTGGTGCTGGACCAATATTCGGTACAACGCTTGAAGACTTTGAGCTCGCCGGTCGGATCTGGTTGAATAATCTAACACTCCTGCGTTGTGGTGCTCCCGGATCTTCTGAGCCTTGCCTAGGAACGACCTGCCCAGATACTGTACGCTTTCGCTCTCCAGCCGAAGGTAAAAGGCCATTATTCCGCAAAGACTGAGTAGCTGCTGATTCTTCGATAGACTCTGGCTGTGCTGATCTCTGTGCTCGCTTTGACGTAGCCCCGCGGCCCATCTTGGGCGCATCAATACTAAAGTCCATCCCCAGGCCTGGCATCGTTCTACCCTTCCGTGCTGGTGCAGCAGGCACCTCGCCTTGATATGTCGGGCCAGGATCTCTTCGATTGAGCACCGCGGATACGTCGACTGAAGCACTCGGACCGGTGGGTGTTTCCATCGCTTCTGGCCCAATTCCTCCTCCCCCTGCAGCTGGAAGATTTGTTAGACTGGGATTGCTTTCATTTAGCTTCTGCGAAATACCAAGTGTATTGAATAGTCCCCCCGCAAAACCTCGAGAAGGAACGTTATTGAACGGATCTGCCACCTCGCTAACAACAGGCGCGGATCTGTTTCCTAGTCGATGTCGATCGTGTTCCGTCCGCTGGTGGGAGTTGTCCCTCGATTGGACTTGTGAATGAGGTTGTGATTCTTGTTGGTCCTGGGAATTCATTCTAAGGGCTGCCTCCATCTCTGGATTTAACCTGAATATATTCGGGACGTTCAAAGGCGTGCCCATATCACACAGGCGCGTGAAGGCATCCCACATGAACGGATTGAGCTTCAGAGATTCCTCGTAGCAGGTGATCGCCTTGACCTTGTTGTCGTATCCGTGGTAAAGCTTTCCCAGTAGGCAAAGGATCACGGCCGCGTCGGGCAGGGGTTGCCTCGACGATGCCGTATGTTTTCCGAAGCTATTTCTTCCTCCCCATAGCCCCTTACTCTTTTCGAGTGCCGTTATGCCATCCTTAAATCTTTCCAAAGCCAAACATGCCTGTGCATACACGTAAGCAGAAGCCAAGTGAGTGCCTCTTGACCCTGCCGGTTTGGAGCACTCGTAAGCGGAAGCATTATCTCCGAGTCGGAAGTGGCAGAGGGCGGCGAGGTAGGCGGATTCGGGGTTTCGGTGGTCATAGGCTACAAGACGCTCGGCGTAGAAGAGGGCATTCTTGAGAAGGTTATTATCGATGTGGTAGTAGATGAGCTGGCGTAGTTGGCTCGCGACGCAGGTAGTTGACGGCGCCATGATGCGATGGCTCTGCGAAAGATGTACCGATGACTTTAAGTAATCGAAGACGAAGCGGATTATGTAAGTCTAGCCATGTGGTCCACGAGCTGTGGAAGAGTTGTCGGCTTCGTTTTGTGCGGTTCCTTTGTTGAAAATAGCGCTTCCAGCCTCCTCCCTCTCGTCCCTTCTTCTCTTCCCGGAGCTAGGTGCGGCGAATATGCTTTCGGGTTCTGCGAACAGTCGCTGTTGCTCGTTGGCGGAAATTACAATTAGAATACTCGCGGTGGTGGTGTTGTTGAGGGTGACGCGAATTGGGCACGCGAGGAAAACAGATGGTGGTCTTCTTGGTCGTGGTCGTGGTCGTTGGGGGAGAGGCCGAGAATAACAAAAGCCGCCGACAGGGTCGGTCGTAAAGTACTGTCTTTACTGCGCTGTAAACAGAGCGAGAATCGAATGCAGACTGAAGCGCGCAAACCCAGACGCCGAAAAAAAAAGAGCGAGCGAGGGAGTGATGTTAGGTTTGGGTTTCTGGATACTCTCGCTACCTTACTTATGTCAACATCGGGTCGCGAGGTTCTGTTGTGGTTCGTTGCAAACGGCGGCTAGAATTTCGATTGGATGGGATGGCGGGTCTTGACTCTGGCCAGACAACAAACCCTGGGCCGGGCTTGGCGAAGGTTACGAGATATTCAGCCTCGTTTTTGATATTGATATTAGAACATCAGAACATCAGACTGCGACTGGAATACAGTATCGATTGAGAATACAATACTTCCCAATCTCGTCTGCACCCACCGAGCGAAAGACAGACCCTACTTAGGGTACCATATAATATCCTCATATTCTCTGGCCTCATCTTCCTATCGTCGTCCTCCACCTCGGCCTCAGCCCAAACACAATACACAAATACACCCAGTCCATCCACATCCACCACCATGGCACAGAAAGCAAAGAAAGAGCGCGCCAAAGCCAACACCAGCACCCTCAACAACCTCCACATCGGCACCCTCGTCCTCCAAGCCCTCTTCCTCCTCACCTCCCTTCTCTACACCAAGCGCTCTTTGTTCGCCTGGCTTGTCCTCTCCATCCCCTCCCTCATCGCTGAGTACATTCTGGAGACAACCGGCCGCCCCAAATACGACGCCAACAAGACGCTCAAAAGCGCCGGCGAAGACCTGGCCGCTCCGGGCTTGACAGAGTACATGTTCGACATCGTCTGGGTGACGTGGCTGTGTCTGGTGGTCGTTACGCTGTTTGGGAATTGGGGCTGGTGGCTGTGGAGTGCGGTCCCGGCGTACGGGCTGTATAAGGGTTATGGGCTGCTGGGGATGGCGAGGGCCATGATGGGGGGAGCACAGCAGGGGCAGATGCCGAGCGAGGAGCAAGTTGCGGCGGGAGGGAACAGGAAGCAGAGACGAGCTGCGTAGGATTGAGGACTGGAAAATGGTGCCGTTATTGAGTTTCAGTGACGGTCTACTCTTTGTATGAGCCGGCATTTCGATTTTGGTTCTAGTGGCCATTATACCCCTCAGGACTTCCTCCTGAGTCCCGAATATGAGATGCTTGAATGTTGGGCTGACCTACTCTCAACATCCATCCTCCATCTGATCTCCTCCTCCTCCTCTCCTCTTCTCTCCAGCCCAAAATAGCAAATCTTCCTCCCTCGCATCCTTCACCAGCACATGCACATGCTCCAGGGCCCTCACACTCTGTAAGCTCACCCAATTCTTAAACCACACCACCCTCTCCTTTCCCCCCTCCCCAAGCCTGTGCACAAACATTCTTTCCACAAACTTCTCAATGACCATTCTACTCTCCACACTCATATCCCCCGTCGTCTCATCGACCGCAATGGGTGTCTTGCTCCACACTACAAGGTGCGTGATGTCGGTCGTCAGGCCGTAAGGCCAATCGTTTCTCAGGATTTTGAAGTCTTCCGGACAGCTGAACGGGATGGGAGATACATAGGCGAAGGGCGGGGAGCCCCAAGATGAAAGTCGGCATTGGAGCAGGTAGTTTGTGGTACTGCCGTATTGGGATTTGATCAGGGCGGTCCAGTCCATGTAGCGGCGAAGGTCGGAGGGCTTGCGTTTCAGCACTTCGAGGCTGTTTCTTGCTGCGGGAAGTCAGCTGGTACCAGAAGAAGGGTGAGAGGAGGGAGAGAGGGAGAGGGAGAGGGTAGGGCAGAGAGAGTAGGGCAGAGAGAGCTCTGTTGACAACCATCGATCCACAACCAAGATGAAGCTATTCGCAACCTTTGGCAACAGTGCCCATTCTTTTCTTTCTTTCTTTCTTTCTCTCTTGCTCAAGCAAAAGAAACACAGGAATTCCCAACACTTAACAACAGACACATTGGAGTCTGAAAGCGGTAGAAAAGTTATCTCACCAACAATCCCCTTCAGCTCCTCCCAATCATGCAGATGGAACTCCTCGTCCGTCTGCGCCAGCACCCACCTATCGATGTCCGTCAGAGGGAACGGAGCCTCTTCTCCTCCCCTCTTCCCTTCCCCTTCAATTGTTTCATGGTTTACGCTGCTGTCCCCCATTTGATTTCCTCGCTTCTAGGACGAGGAAGTACCTTACGTACAACCGAGCCTGTCTGTTAACATGCATGTACAGAGCCGAGCTAAGCCTTTTGATGTTCGGGTACAAGATCTAATCTAATCTCTGACCTGATCGGATCGGGATCGGATCGGATCGGATTATTCAGAGCCGGGAACGACTGCGCCGTGGCGGAATGGAATATGTACGAAATGCGAATACCATAATTTCGAGTGAGCCAGTTTATAGATTTGTTTTTTTCTTTTTGAAATTTGGTACCCCCGTAGATTTTCTTCGTCTTCACCTGAATAATTTAATTAAAAAAAAAAACATTGCGGTTTAACGAATATATAGTTGAAAACTACAATCTTGGTAGAGGTGCCATATGGCCTACCACGACCTACCCCACCTGCCCCTGCCCCCCGTAAGTACAGATACCTACCCCGGAAGAAAAACGTCTCAAAGCTCCCTCAACAAAATACCCCGACCTGAAGTCAACAAACATGGCAGAGTTGTTCTCCAGTCAGAACATCAACGGCGTCTTCATTCCCTCCGGCCTTCTCGTCTTCGGGACGCTGATTGTGAAGAGAGAATGGGTGCCCTATGCTTTCATTCTGGCTGCGCTGCTGTCGGGTTTTAAGTTGTTGAAAAGCCGTATGTCCCTCCATCCTCTGCTCTTCGCAGACCCCCAAATATGCTCAGTGGCAAATCTAACAGACCTTGCAGAAGCAAAGCCGGTTCTCAAGCCTACGGAGCTCCAAGACTTTGAACTGACAGAGAAGACCATCATCTCCCACAATGTTGCAATGTCAGTTTACGCAATCTACCTGCCCTCAGTCTACTAACACCGACAGCTACCGATTCAAGCTCCCCACTGAGAAATCGATTCTGGGCCTCCCAATCGGCCAGCACATCTCCATCGCAGCAACCCTGAAGCAACCTGATGGCACCTCCAAAGAAATTGTCCGTTCTTACACCCCCATCTCAGGCGACCACCAACCTGGGTTCTTCGATCTCCTCATCAAGTCTTACCCCACCGGTAACATCTCCAAACACATGGCCTCTCTTGTTGTTGGACAGACAATCAAGGTTAAAGGACCCAAGGGCGCAATGGTCTACACGCCCAACATGGTACGCCACTTCGGGATGATCGCAGGAGGAACAGGTATCACGCCCATGCTGCAGATTATTCGCGCTGTGATCCGTGGCCGCCTTACTGGCGATGTAACGAAGATCGACCTCGTATTCGCGAACGTCAACTCCGAGGATATTCTGCTCAAGGAGGACCTGGATCAGCTGGCTAAGGAGGACAAGGATTTCAACGTCCATTACGTGCTGAACAACCCGCCCGAGAACTGGGATGGCGGTGTAGGCTTTGTGACGCCTGAGATGATGACTGTACGTTCTATTCCCTCGCGCATTTCAACTACTAAGCGAATCTTCTTCCCTCGCTTCTGACCCAGGGCCTAACATTCAATCACAGAAATGGCTCCCTAAGCCAGCAAAGGATGTCAAGCTGCTGCTATGCGGCCCTCCTCCCATGATATCTGCCATGAAGAAGAACGCGGTCGAACTGGGCTTCGAGAAGGCTAGGCCGGTATCGAAGTTGGAGGACCAAGTCTTCGCTTTTTAAGAGTCAAGAGTAGATAGACGATCGGAGATGATACTAAAAATAACCTGGTGGGGAAAACCGCGTGTCCGTATAGAGGCAGGCAGCTGCAGACTTTCCCGTTGCTACAGATGGCGTGACGAGAGGGTAGAGATGCATAGCGTTTGTACCAGACATAACACCATGGTCAACTTCCGCAGTGCCAGCGCATGTGTAGGTGGGGTTCGCAATGAGAATGATGGATCTCACATTTCTATATATATACACAAATCCATCTCCGTCTCATGACTTCAGTATAGACATTTTGCCTCCTGCGCTCATATCAATATCAATAACGCGAGCGTCGAAGTCTACCTTATTAGCTAACTAGATACCCAACCCACCGGGCCTGCCCATCCGCATATCTATATATCCATACACCTCCTACCTACCTACCTAGCTACATCGCATCTCGCGAAAGCAGGCCGTGAAGCAATCGAACTTTCAAACCCACGCGGCGGGTGATCATAGCACGCGAAGCAACTTCACGGACAACAAGCCCCAAAGAAAACCACCCGGTCAGTCATATTCCTAACCCGCGCTCCCAGGTCTCGGAGAGTCAGGTGTTGACTTCGATTTAGCACGTACGTACCACCCGCTTCCCTCTTCTTCTTCTTCTTCTTCTTCTTCGGAGCGCTTGGGCTTTTTCTCATAAGGTGATTGATTAATGGACAGACTCATCCAGTAGTGGAGGGGCTCTGATGCCGTCTGTAATTAGGCCTGGTCGTAGTGTATATATATTTATATATATATATATGTAAGTAGGTAAGTAAGTAAGTAAATATCCTCGCTTGGGATCGCGAGGAGGAGCAAGCAAAGGCTGTGTTAGTCCCTTCTATATTGTGAGGTTAATGTGTCTTTATATACAGCCCAGACCAAGATATTGAAGATGGAAGGACGGTGTGAGGTGTAGAACAAAAAAAAAGCGTCACACTGGTAGTGGGTTTATTAGATCGGTGTTGGAATATAAAGAGTACTATACTATACGAATTGGACGGTTCGTTCGTGCATCTACCACCTTAGATTTGAGAAGCAAAACTAGAAATGCGTGAAATGATCTACTGAATAGGCGACATGTAGGTACCAAGTGGTTGGAAGACGCGGGAACGGGACCACGACCGTGGTTCGCATTGCAAATTAATAAAGCAGAGAGATATCTGGCACCATTGTGAAGGCTTTTGAGAAACATTGTGGTGCTTGTCTAAAGCAATTGATGCCTTAAACACGATACAAAATCGTACACGTCAAGGAGTCCCAGCAAAGTCACCTGGTAGGCACCGTCAAGAGTAATATCATCGCTCCACAAAGCGTTGTATGCAAGAGCTTCATATCCAAATGCCCGAAGTCCAGAACAGGACTTACCGTTCGTTTCTTTGCCTCTCCCTTTCTCGCCTGCCTGCTGCTTCGACTATCGTTCTGTCTAACATGGGCACACTTCCATACCCTTCCTTCTCATCAACAGGATTGAATTCCCACTTTCTCGCGGGAGCATTGACTCCAGGCCAGAGATCAACCGGCAGGTAATCTCCAACATCGATTCGGAAGCCCTCGCGTTCTTTCATATCTGCCTCGTAGACCTTGTCAATTTGCTCCATGGCTTTCCGCATTATAGTTTTAACCTTGTCTTCTGACTGCTTTCTCCTATGAACTTCTAGGATCAAGCTATCGTAGGAGCTAAAGTAGTTCTCGTAGAAAATTCGCATCGACTCCAGCTCGTTGAGCTGTTCCTGAATGTTGAGCTTGGTCTCCCCCCACCTTAGGCGGAACTCATGGCTGGCGATTATATAACTCGACAGACGGGCTCCCACGGCTTCCAGCATACTGTAAGCAACAGCCGTCTCGTCGTGGGAAGTCGTCAGGCTGGCAACGTGTTCTAGTATCTCCTCGTGCTTGGCTTCCATGTCAGCCAGATATTCCCGTAATTCCATAACCACATCTTCGACCTGAGCAGCGTCTTTCTCTAATACATCCAGCATCTCCTTCCTTTCTTCCTCTGACAGTGACTCGCCAGTAGTGGGATCGTTTTCGGTACTCATTACCCCAGAGACGGAAACTGGTTCTGCTTCGGGTGGCTGTGATGATGCCGCCTTTTGTACTGCTGCATATCCGCCTTCTGTATGCCGTATCGCGTTGACGCAAAGGTCAAAGTGCCGTACCAACGAGTCGAGTAGAGCTGCCATCTCCTGTGCATTTGATTCGAGGGTATGGAGGTGCGAGGCTATTGCTGGTGAGAGGTCATCGTGAGATTGAGATGTATTAGGTAAGGGAGAAGCTTTCATTGCGGCTTTGAGTGTGCGGAGGTCATCGTCAAAGGACAGAATCGAAGAGTCGAATTCGGTTTGTGCTTCCTAGAGAAAGGTTATAGAGAGGCGGAATGTGAGGCGGTTTGTGAAGTACCTTCGATTCTCTTATAGATTCTTTCAGGGCATCTCGCATAGTCTCCACGCCTTGTTCATCCACAAAGTCGAGCAGACTACGGGAATCTTCATTTTCTGGCCTGAATGTAGCTTCAACCATTGTAGATCGCAGTATCTCCATTGTCGATTCCAGCTTCGAGTTCGCAGAGTCTAAAGTTCGAATGACGTGCTATCCACACTGTGAGCTTGCGAGTCCGTTTCTTTCGATTTTCATACCTTGAAGTCCCGCTGTCCATCTTTATACACATCCTCAATACCTCCTCTTACTTTCCTCAATATCTTGACCTGTTCTGATATACCACTTCTTAGGAATCCGGCTCGGGCACTTAGCACCACACTTTCTTCCAAGGCCGAACGGGCGGAAGTCACTATTTCGTTGGCGCGCCATACCGTACTGATCGATGCTAGAGATCTTTTGGAAGCAAGAAGATGTGTAACAAGAGTCTCGAGAGAGATATCAGAGTGCGACATGGATTGAGACTGTGAATGTGTTGCTGATGTAGAGAGCGAGGCTTGGCTCTGGCGGGCGGATGGGAGAGATGGGACCGACATGATGGGGATGGAAGAGGAGGCCTTTGTACCGGAGATTGTTGTCTGCAATTGGCCGAGCGAGGGTTTCAATATCTCGTACTCTATCGGAAGTGGAGATGGTGTTTGTCCGAGCAGTCGGAGATCAATCAATCGAGGATGGGTCAAGACGAGGCTGACAGGTTCGGAATTTGATCGGGTAAAGGGGTCTTGGCGAGATTTGATCTTGTCATCTCCTTGATGTCCACTCGCTTCCCGCTCGCATCCTAAAGCATCGACAACAACAACAAGCGGGCTCCTTTTCTTGCCGATCCTCGGTAAGTGGGCTCTGGATCTACAACTATCAAACTAAAACGGCAGATGCTACTTATGCTGCAGCCACATTGTGTACTAATCACTATATTGATGCTTGCTCGCATAAACGAGCTTTGAGCGAAAATCTCCCGTGGAGCTTGACCAATGGGTGTTCAGAGATCCGTGACGCGATGCAGCCCTGCCCAATTCAGTGTGCGGTATTTTACGTGGCGTTCAATTGCCAAAGGGTGTGGCAAGCCGCACTGTCAGTGGCTCACCGTTGCACAACATGCAGACTTACATTTCAGATATTTGCTCATGTCACGAAAGTAACGAGGTATCCAAGGCTAGATCCTGATCGTAGCGAGTATATGCTGACAGTGGGAAATTGAAACGACAACGTTACAGATGATTTTCAACGACGTAAGAATGTCATACAACTTCCTACTCTACCACCAGAGCTCCGAACAACGGATCCGCATAGGTCAAGGAAGCTTCTTTAAGGTCAAAACCGCGGCTATCACCAAAACCTTAATCGATTTCAACCAGAACTGGACAAGCTCTCATAAAGTAGAACAGGTCTCCCGGGGATGGATCAGAATCACCGAGGGCTAGGGCATTGACTCGGCGAAAGAAGAACCCTACGTATTCCAGGCCAAAAAAACGAAGATTAGACTAAGGTCTGATTGCTAGAGACATCTATCTATAAAGAGCGTGATGCAATTGAAGATCTCCTGAAGCCATACATGGCTTGAAATCTTTGCAAAAGGCTCTCTGATTTCACTTGACGTATTTTGGATGCGAAAGACACCGATGGGTACAACGAAATGAAGGTATCACAGCTCCGCGTTATTCGAGGGCAGATTTCAACACCTGCCATTGCCAACAGCTAAGTCATAGGCCTCTCAGACCCTATCTCGATAAATTGACTCGTGAAAACAAGAGGGATGATGTCTATGTAGTTCCAGCCCTTTAATAAGACATAGGGGTTCATTGACACTAAGCGCAGGGCAATGACAAACTCGCCCTCGAAATCTATCAATACAGGCACAAACACATATACCTGTCAAACCTGCTGTCGAAATACTGGCTAGCAGAGACGTCCAGTATCAAAGCAGGCCTTTCGCTCTGCTTTTCTTTTTAAAGACAGTCCCGATAGATGGTTGAAATATACAACCATATCCAAGACCCTTCAGCGCTTCGGCTCCGAGGCAAATCCATCCTTCTGCGCGTCTGGGGCCAGGTCAGATGCGTTTCTACGACGACAAGTTGAATGGTTCTGGTGCCCATCAAGGCATGCCTTTTCCACTGAAAAGGCGTGTGGCTGAGCTCTTGGTGGTGGATGGAATTCCTATGGACTTGGGCGTCAGTGCCGACCGCGAAAGAGGCGAGATCTTACCAGGTTTAAAGAGAAGCGGGCCAGTCAGTCTGTTCTCGAATGCGAACTCGAATGTGAATTCGACTCGCCTCGTGGTACGGGGGAGCGATTAAGAATTACAGATCCATCCGCAACTTCGCCCGTTATCCGCTATAGCTCCCAACGATCGAGTCTCAAGCCATTTATCAAGGTTAGTGTCAGTTCGGGCTCGCTCCATTCTAGTCAGCCTTACGAAGTACTTGGCTTGCAATTGCGCTTCCAGTCCCGAGCACACTATCCTCAGACTCAGACTCGTTCCCATTCCCGTCTCTCGCTTCTTCCACCTTGCACAGGTCAATTCTCTACTCGTACCCTCCGATTCGATTTCATGCAGGAACCAGCTGGCTACTGCATATCTTCAGGACACTCTGCAGCCTGCATCTGCGAGGCGCGTTTGCCGAACTTGGTATAGGGATTCGCTTAGGGAAAGGGAGGGTAGCATGACCCTTGACTCAGTCAGATGGACTCTAGGCTTTTTCGGCGAGCCGACGAGTTCTTCGCTCACTTTGTCGGGTCTCATCAGGCAATGCTGACTTGACCACCCTTTCCGAGATAGGCGGGCTGTTCATCGCATCGGATCGGATCCTGGACACACTCACTTGTTCTGTGCATGTCGGAAAATTCAACTGATAATCTTTGGCCAAGACATCCACCACGTGCCGCGCTGGGCACTTACTCCATCTGACCCGTGTCTCACCAGATCCGAGCCGATTCAAATCTTTCATCAGCTCCTGCCTCTTCCCTCTTCCCTCTCAAGATAGTGAGAAGGGGATCTGGCCCAATTCAGATCGCCGATTGGGCACGCCGCCCAGTCACACCAGGCTGTGACGCGGCTGATGCGGCTTTGAACTTGCGCACTCGTGTCTGTCACCGGATCAGGCTGCCCTTGCAGCGGTCTTACGCCCTTTCTACTCAGCCTATCTTCCCTTTCCAGTTCGGTGTCCGCTGTCCTGATTGGCTTTTCCCTATTCTGTCTCTTACATCATAATTTGTTAGTTTATCCTGCCTATCCTGCGTATCCTGCTAATTTGGCCCACGACTTGGTCATCGATGTTTCCGTGGTGGTGTGTCTTATAGCCATGATTCATAATCGCGCTCCAAGTACGAGGCGCATGGCGCTCTCTTCACAATAATGTGGCAGCCTTCTCGTAAGGCTCCTGTGTGACTGCTATATATCTGCCCTCGTATCCCCAGGTGTTAGTTAGCCACTGACTCTTACCTCTCTCGTTCTTCCACGAGATCCGTAAAGTACGCTCGTTTGAATTCACAAGGCCCGTTCCGTTCTTTCTACACATTACAAATACCAGACCGGCCGTGAGCCGGGCGCCCGTTTCACAGTCACTTCGGCCCGCAAGATACAACCTTAGGGCCGGTGTATATAAAATGCCGTTCAACGAACTCCAACGCTGCGAGTCATGGCCGCCCACTGTCGTCCGCCTGCACTCTGACGTCGCAGACAGAGATTCACTAGACGCCATCGACGACGACCCCTTCTCCTTCTTCCTCACCTCCCCTGAAGATATTGAAGACTTTCTCGAGGAAGACTTCGACCTCTCCGCTGGCATCGAGACTCCGGAGTCGAAGTCTCCTGTGCGGGAAGTTTCGCCATCTGCAATCCAACGCGTGCCGCTCGAACCCGAGGATGAGGATGGCGATGATGGTGATGTGACGTTCGGGCTCGCCATACCGTTGAGCTTGAAGGCTTTCACCAGGAAGCATAATCTCAGCCTGGGTCCGGACAGTGGGAGGAAATCACGCATGGGCCATAGGCAGAGCGACCGTTTGAAGGGTTTGGGAATCGCACTTGAGAGCGTGATGTCCGGTCCGGATGCCAAAAGGGGCCGGGCGAATGTAAAGCCGAGTCCGAGGGTGGGAGGAGGACGCGGACGCGGGCAGACGAGGAGTCTGCCGAGGCGGAGGAAGCAGAGTTGGAAGGTTCCGAGTCCAGAGATCTGGGTGATCAAGGAGGAGAGGGAGAGTGGGAGTGAGGAAGAGGAAGCGCTTGTTTCTGCTAGCGCGCCGGCGACGGGAAGGGTCGAACAGGAGCCAACGAAGCCTAGGAAGAGGGTCCATTGGGCAATTTGAGATCATCAGAGTCGGAAGTGGAAATAGGGTTGACGGATGGGAAGATGGAAGGATGGGTGGATGGGATATCTGCTTCGCAGGCGTTTTTGGATGGAAGGACTGATCCGCATCTTGAGGCTGGGTTGGGGCTGCTCTCTGTCACACACGTATAGCTTTTCTTTGCATCGTTTGCATTTTCACCGGCTGGATCAATCTCCTGTGGGCTGGGGCTGAATAGGGGGCAGGCAACATCATCTGGAGTGGAGTACGATACCTTTGTGGCATTAGCAATGGCTTGCTTTTTTGAGTCACATCTTCCTGGCTAGATACATACGAATACATATACAACAAATTGCCACCGATTTCAACGAAAGCGCATACCCTTTCTACTCGTTGCTGGTAGGTAGCCTGATGTGCGTTGCCAATACTGTATTAGCTAGGTGCTCGCGCTACTCGATTGACTTTCGGTTTCGTGGGGGTTTAAGGAGAAGTCGTTGTTTCGTGACGGAGGTCCACACCGCACGGAAGGCGCCGGGAATGTTGAGAATGAACTGCCGGTCCCCATCTTCCCCACAGTTATGATTACTCATCATCGTATTTTGGTTTACGGGGTAAGTTAAATACAGTAGGGGTCCAATGGAAGTGGATCCTTCTGCACCACTGTCCGCCTTTTCCATTGGGGACTCGGACTCGCATCCACATGATCCCCCAGCTAATTTGTTACTTTAGCTTGTGTTTTTACTGTAGCAAAAATGCTGTCTCGTGAATTGATGCGGTTGCGTGCTCGCTTCTCCAATCACGAAATCAGGCCTGAGGCAGGCTCCTCTTTCACTTCACGCCACCAATCGATAAGGTCTCGACCCCACTCGAACAGAAATAAACGACCGTTCTGTTCAAACCTTTCACTTCAAACTCAAGATCCTTAATTGCGCACATATCGGCCGGAACATTTCTTCCCTCTGGCTTCTATTAACGTTTCCCTCTTTTCTTCTTCTCCCCTCTGCCAGCAACGAGCGACCGACCACCGACTGACCACCGAATGACCACCGACCATCGACCGACAGCGAACCTTGCCGTCACCAAGAGCACGCCATCCCAGCTTAAAGTGACGAGCCGAACCCGAACTTCCCGTTGCTGATCACGACTTTCAGTTCCATCGTGGATGCGCTTCATTGACGGACAGTCAGTCAAGTCACCTTGCTGCGCCTGGCCGCTGGTCTTTCACCTGCCTTCTGCCCCTCGCCCCCGGGGCTGACGGCTGCTTTGTCCTACCATTATGGCGTCAACTCTTCACCACGACCCCATGGCCCTGCGCCAATCTATTGAAGTACCTTCCGATCCCGACCGCCGCACTACAGAATTCTCGAAGCGAAACGGTCATGCCGTGAGCATCAGAATGCCGTCAGAATTAGATTTGCGATCAGACCTGGACCTGGCAGACCACACAAGGACCAACGCTCTAGAAGAAACCGGCGAGCCGCTCTCGTATGATAGCTGCAATCACCAGCGTGAGGGCAACAGCTCTTCTGATCCTACCATTACGCTGTCTTCTACGAACAAAGTCGCGGGCATGACGGTCGCGCCGTTCCTGGCGAAGCATATTCCCGAGCAGTATGCCCCGATGGGAACTGGAGCTTCGACGACAGCGCAGAAGGATCCAAGTACCAAGTACTGCTACCGCCACCGCCCCGATTCGAAATGTCGAAGGACGGCAGATGAGCCCACTATGGAGAATCTGCAAAGGGTATGCTGAAGGGCTGAGGCTTGGAGGTCATGGCTGATGGGCAATAGGAACTCGAGACATTATCTCAAGCTGATCAGCAGGGCATAAGTCATGTCTGGTCCTTGTTCTCTGCTGCTCCTGCGAAACATAGAAATCTCATGCTACAGGGTATCCTCACACAATGCTGTTTCCCTCAGCTCTCGTACCTTTCAACCGCGGTCCGGGACCTCATCCGGATTGACTTCATCGCCGCCCTTCCTTCCGAGATATCCTTTAAGATTCTATGTTACTTGGATACGACATCATTGTGTAAGGCAGCACAAGTGAGTCATCAATGGAGAGTAATGGCAGACGACGATGTGGTATGGCACAAAATGTGTGAGCAACACATCGATCGGAAGTGTATAAAGTGTGGCTGGGGATTGCCGCTTCTGGAGAGGAAACGACTGCGAGACTGGAAGCGCCAACAGCAGCTGCGAGCGACTGGTCGAGGACTGAACCAATGGTCCCCAAATCTGACACCAATACCGGATGACCAGCGTAGCTTGGAATTGATCAAGGCACCTTCTACCTCGAAAGGGTGCTCAAAGAGAGACTCGAGTTCTTTCAGTGCCGACCTTACGGTGACATCCTCGGAGGGAACGAAACGACAGAGAATTAACCCTGAGGATTCGTATTTCGGCAAGCCGAAGTTCCGCCCTTGGAAAGACGTTTACAAGGACCGGTTCAAGGTTGGAACAAACTGGAAGTATGGACGATGTTCGACGAGAATCTTCAGAGGTCATACGAATGGTGTCATGTGTCTACAATTCGACGACAATATTCTTGCTACTGGTTCTTATGACTCGACTATCAAGATTTGGAACATTGAGACTGGGGAATGTCTCCGTACATTGAAGGGACATACATCGGGAATTCGCGCTCTTCAATTTGATGACACGAAGCTTATCAGTGGAAGTCTTGACAAGACTGTCCGCATCTGGAATTGGCGAACAGGGGAATGCATGTCAACCTATCAAGCCCACTCTGAAGGCGTCATCGCGGTCCATTTTGACGGGAACACCGTGGCATCTGGTTCGGTCGATAAAACAGTCAAGATCTGGAATTTTGACGACAAGTCGACTTTCTCCCTTCGAGGCCATAAAGACTGGGTCAACGCCGTCCGAGTTGACGCGGCATCCCGAACTGCCTTCTCCGCCTCCGACGACTGCACTATCCGACTTTGGGATCTCGATACTCGAAAGACGATTCGTATATTTGAGGCGCACGTGGGGCAAGTCCAACAGGTCGCCCTGCTTCCGCCCGAGTACGAACCCGAAGATTTTGGCGCAGTCGAGGAAGACGACGGAACGAGCAGCACAGCCAGCACAACTGACGTCCAAACCCCCATCCTCCAGCCCGACGCTCCTTACGGCGAAGACTGGCCCAGTTCGCGCCCGTACCCACCCCGCTACATGGTTACCGGCGCCCTGGATTCAACCGTCCGCCTCTGGGACGTATCGACGGGCCGCTGTCTGAAAACCATGTTCGGACACGTTGAGGGTGTGTGGGCTCTTGCCGCCGATACATTACGGGTGGTTTCCGGCGCTGAAGACCGTATGGTTAAAGTGTGGGATGCGAGGACGGGAAAGTGCGAAAAAACGTTCTCCGGGCATGCAGGGCCTGTGACGTGTATTGGGTTGAGCGATAGTAAGATGGTCACGGGGAGTGAGGACTGTGAGGTTCGGCTTTACAGCTTCAAGATTGAAGTGAGTGAGGGGGTTGACAGTGACGTGCTGGTGGCCTCTACGCCATCGCAGCAGTAGTTTCTACCCGTCGCCATCTGACCTATTTCAACATTCCGAGATTTGGGAATTGGGCTTTTTTTCTTCCTTTCCAGGCGCAAACTTGGGAAAGGCACAAAGAGACGCGAACACACAGCACGGCATGGGTTTGAAATGGGGACTATAAGCATCAACTAGGGATGAAGCAGAGGTGCGAGATGCAATGCTCTGGGGGTTCTGATAGCGAATTTTGATTTTGACTCTGGTTATGGGCTCATGACTGCGATGGCTTAGTTGGATGGATACCTTTGCTGCCTGCCTGCCTGCCTTGCTTGTTTGTGGCGTTTAGGCGTTGACTAGCTAAATCCGCGTGCTGCCATTTTTCCCTCCCTCAGGGCGGCGGATGGGCACCGCTTGTATGTACGGATGAACGTATGGAGGGCGCATGGTGTTTTCGAAGCCCCGCTTGACGGACATTTATCGGATATCTCGAAAGGCAGATACCTAGATGTATTTGTTTTTGGCTTTTTCTCTCCCTCGCTCGGTGGATCTCGGAGGGATGGGGGTGGACGAGGAAAATTAAGAATGAAAGAGCGACATACGGTTCTCGCTCAATTCAATACTTCTTCTTTCTTCCATCTCTTCTTCACCTTGCTTACTCTCTTCCCCCCCCCTTGACCTTGACCTTGACCTTGACCTTGACCTTGACCTTGATAACGGCCGTTCGTGATTGCGTACCGTATCAATGCGGGTGCGGGTAGAGGTCAAGCAAGTACGGATAGATAGATACTTACCTAGGTAGGAGGTAGGTACGGTAGGGAGGTAGGTACCGGTACCGGTACATAAGTCAAAGTAGAGAGAGGCTGGGAGAGTCGGTAGTTGGTAGTTGTGATGGTAACGATTTCGAACCCGCACGGGTCTTCTTTCTTCTCTCTTCTTTCTTCTTTCGGTGTTTGGTGTTTGGGAAAGAGGGGACTGGAATGGCGATGCTTGTCTCGGTATCGGTATCGGTATCGGTAGGTATGGTATGCTGATGTGATGTGGGTATGGATGGGGTTTCTTCCTCTCTGCTTACCGGTACAGTACTGGAAGGGGGAAGCTGGAGGGGTGGGTTGGGTTGGTTTGGTTTGATTTGGTTTGGTCGGCATGGGAGGGGGAGGGGGATGGGGGGGGTGGGATTAGATCTTGTGATTGGATCTTTTCTCCCTCTCTCTATCTCTATTGGGTTTTGGGTTTGGGGTTTTGGGTTTGGGGTTTTTGGGTTTGGGGTTTTCATCCCGAGAACATCACATCGATTTGTTGAAAAGGGAAGGGCGGACGGAGGAGAGAGAGAGAGAGAGA